ACCATGCGCAAAAAATGACATAATCCCCCCCCCATTACCCTCTCAACCTCTCAATCGCTCGATTAGCGAGAAAACCCACACATACCCCAGTAACTCCCTACGTTACACACATTCGTAAAATAAGCGGGAGAGGCGCCCCTTTTTTTTTCTTTCTTTCTTTGGCTCGGAAGGGAAAGGGTTGGCGCGGGGAGGGGGGCGGGCTGAGGAATCGACGATGGACTGGTTTCGATGGGTGGCCGGGATAGGAAGGTTTTGTGTGTGTGTGTGTGTGTGTGTGTGTGGTTTGGAGGTGCATGGGGGGCTTGGCGCTAGGGTGGATGGGCGTTTGGTGGAGAGGGGGGGGAAGGGGAGGATGGGGGATGGAAGATGGAAGATGGAGGAGGGTTTGGGTATGTATATCGCGTTGAGGGGTTTTGGGTGCGTGGATGTGTGGTGGGGAGGTGTTTGGGACTGATGTTCTGTGAACCAGAGTTTTTGGGGCTTGTGAGGATGATGGTGGTCGGAGAAGGTTGGTTAGGAGAAGGTCTTGCTGTTTTAGTATCGTGTGAAATGGCGGTTTGGGTAGGCACATATAAATCTGCGAGTCTTGGAGGTGATGCATGGAAGGGATGTGGTGAGTTGAGAAATGAAGTTTGGACCTAGGTTGGTGTACCCATTTTTTCTGTAATAGGCGGAAAGTATGCCATAGACGATTTATATCGAAGTGAAGACATGTAGAGCTCATTTATCGTACCAGGTATCACGATAGTTCATATTTTCTAACTGATCTCGCAGCTATTCAACTCCCCATTTCTTCTACGTCTTTCTTGCCCGCAGATACCCGGCCATAAACGCCCAATCCGTTTCCCACATATCTATATAAAACTCAGAAGCGCCCATGTACACTCCATGTTGACTCCTTAGTTGTCTCGTTCAGCCATCGCTCCATGTGCCATGCTGTCTTTCCTTCTTTCACGTTTGTTTCTTTTGATTCCTGGTTATTCCGCTGTTTTCATATCAGTCATCATAGCATCCATGCCTTTGATGCATGTACGAACCGGCGCAACTTTCTCACCAGAATCCTTGTTCCCGCTGTTTGTTCTATTGGCGTCGCTACTAGTTTGGGCATCCGATTTCAGACGAGATGAACCCGCTGTAGGAGGCATGTGTTTGGTTTGGTGGTTCTGCATGGCGAGGAAATAGATTGTGAGCGAGAGTTAAATTGCTCAAACTTTTGAATATGGGCTTCAAATGTATGATGTAGCTTGGTTTATTTGCTGCTTGAATTGAGTCCGTATGTCTCATCCCATCTATATAGTTCTCATCTTCATATCCTGTGGTTGATATTGAGGGCCGCAAACTACGCTCATGGCGAGTTTGATTCGCGGCCGCAGTCTTCGTTTAGATGAGGACTGGATACTGTTGAGGGCCGCAATGTATGAAATCTTGATTGGAGGCCGCATCGCTTCTGTCGTGAAGTAACGGCCATAGCGCGGACGAAAGCGCCCACTTCTGGAGCTAGGGGGTATTTTAACGGCATTCTCAAATCATGAATGGTGGCCGCAATCTTACATTCCACTTGACAACACTAGGCCCAGGTGGATGGGTGCTGTGATTTGCATGAGAGACCAGAGGTATACAGCTCGGGCATGCTGGTTGGTGGCCGCAAATATCAGCCAATCGAATCACGGCGTGGTCCCCACTTTATCGAGCCCATGACACCCTGCCATACGCTTGAAAGAGATATGAAGGAGGATGTTTTGGCGTTTGCCATGTCCGATCCAGCCTCATTATCATGGTCCAACCGACATGGGTAGGGCGTAGCGATTGGATGAGAAGTCAGGCCACTGGATTGAGCTGAGCCACTTCTCAGCCTTGTTCAAATCTTCCGGTCACAGTTCAACTTCACAAGAGCCTTTCGATGCTTGCTTTATGACCTACAAACCACTATCAATGAGATACTACATGCTTCAAACCTCACTATATTAGCTATGTCGTTTGCAGCACAGCCGCACACCTCTCATTCGCGGAGCAGCTTTTCCGCACCTCGATCCGATGCCCAGACAAGAGAGCGTTGGGGGTCGAGACCATGGAAACACAGGGAGACGATGGGTATGATATCCACCGAGATTGACTTTAGGGTAGATGAAGAATCACTTCCACTGGATGTATTATGGGAAGATCCACTCTTGTCAATTCCATCTCCAGGGCTAGAATGGGAGACCGCTTTGGAGGGCTTTATGGATACACGCCGCGCGATAGAAGACTTCGACTACAAAGCCATTGAATCAAGCGCGAATACTATGAATTCCGTCTTGAGGGGATATGCGAATTGCAGGAAATGTGCAGAATATTTCTATTACTTGCGAGGCAACTCGTTCTTTTCTGCGCGTCGAGTATTCGCAATTTTGTTCATTTATCCGGCAGATAATACTGAGTTTTTCTGGGATTTTGATACTATCGACGATCCAGTTGAATGCAAGATCTGGAAGAGATTGGTAGAGCCAAACCCGGGAAGCTATCAAAGGCAACAACAGGCGCCGCAGGAGAAACGACCGCACCCCAAGCCACGTCACAGAAACAAGGTGGAAAAGGAGCCTTTCAGAGCTGCAAAGGTTCTGATGAGGGATGATACTATACTGGAGATTGTCGATAAGCTCGAGCAAACCTTGTCTTCGCTCCAAATCGACACCAAGGTGGAGTGGCGTATGGCTCACCGCCGATCATCACTCAAGAACTGGAGACGCGCAGCCGGAAAGAGCAAATCCTGGAAGCCATGTTTGAAAAGTACAGTGCCAAAACAGACTCATCTCAACAGGAGAAGACAAAACTCGAACGGTGTTGCGTATCATTCTGCAAAGCCTCCACCATGGCTACCAGCTACATTCCTGCGTTCCCAGACAATAGAAATGTCTTTATGTCCAGGTTATGTGCTACGACGTCAAGAGACAGATTCAGTACCGAGGCGAGCAAGATGCCATGATCACTATACCCACGACTTTGAGGATACGCCTATTGCTCCACATGGAAAACACCATACAAAAGCAGCTCAGAGTGTCAATACCTGGGAATCTAAATCGGGGATTATTGAGGACATGAACAAAGAGCCAGCTGGTGCATTCATACGGTTCACATGGAAAGATGGAACCTTAACCAACGGAACCGGACAACTCGATCGGTTCTTATCAACCGACTCAATACCACACAGCCATTGGAATATCACTGGTTTTCTCCGGAATGAAAGCTTTGCAGATGTCTACTCGCTAAGTGAACCTCCCTTCGGTCTTCCATCAGTAGAAATCGGGGTATCACTGGAGGCACACGTATTCCTGGACGAATATCATGGGAATTGCGCCGTCTACGCCAGTCGCTCGAAGAACCGCATGCGACAAAGCGGAAATTGTCTCGACACTTTCTGGCACAACGGCAGGCATATATTTGTCATGAAGATACCAAAGAAGCCTGTTCTGTTCAAACTCCACAACACAGAAGAAGAGTTTCCTTCTCTTGTCAATCAAGACAAGTGCAATGAGAAGATAGCTCTGCAGCGTCGCCGTTTCCGTGGCAGACCTAGTTTTGCAGCGATGGCTGGAAGTGGATGGCCAGATGCAAGTTCAGAGTGTCAATCGGTGCTGATGAATGAAGGCCAATCCGCGCTGGAGAAGGAGTTGGAAAGGATTGAAAAGGCGCGGGTGAAGAAAGCGGAGAGGCAGAGAGTGAAACGGAGATCGCAAAGGGAGAAAAGGCTTGGGGAGAAGCAATGAAGATCGGTATAGCGGCGGCTTTTATGGTTCTTCATGAGTAATACTTCAACTCTTTAGATGTCGGCCGAATCTAAAGATGATTGTTCTGGCTCTGATCTTCACACTATGACCAAGTTTCGTCATGCATCACAAAACTCATCAACTCATAATCAATAGTATTTGAAACTAAGACAAGTCCGCGGCTTCTCTTTCCCCGGAGTCCCTCGCTCGAGCTACTGCCCGCGGCTTCTCCGTTTAGCAAGCGTACCACGGCTGCTTGATTTTGACATTGGTACGGCCTCCTGATATTCTTCTCGAGCGCCGCTGCGCTTCCTTTTACAGTGTCTTTACCTTCTGGGCTATTGTAGGCCGGCTGGTCCTCTGCTTCGAAAGCATACTGCAGCTGCTAGACTCGTGTTTCGAATACCTCCAGGCCCCTCCTCAATCTACCAAGCTTTGCCGATGCTTCTCTTTCGTAAGAGTACCTCGCTCGAACCTGTATGACGTTCCCAATGAATGGAAATTCCCTGGCCGCGCCATATCTGTCAGGCGCAACCATATGCAATCAACTGACTCCTTGGCGGCGGCCACGAAAAGGAAAGCCCAATCCGTTTGCTAAAATGTCTACCAAAGAACGGGCAGAGCATACACACGAGTCGACAGCTTCGACCCTCGGTGCCTGAACTGAAAAATAATGAAACGGCCAGGAAAATAAAACTGAGATGAACCAGAAAAAGGAAAAGAAACAAAAGCCAGAGGGTAAATGCCAAAGAGGCGAATTCGGTGGGAGATAGCCCACACATGCCAACCCAGAGGAACTAAAGCAAAATGAGTGTAGGTAAATGGAACCAGGAAAAGAAAAAGGAAACATTCATAAACGCTCCGATATCCCCACTTCAGGTTGTCTCTTTTACCTCTTCTCTCAGATGGGAACGGTAAACGACTCCGTGCCCACATCAATGCCATCTTAATTTTAGTAGATGGTAAGACAAGTGCGTATTTGAGCAGCAAAAGGCGCCGTGAGGCAACCAAGTCCTGATGTTCTTCGAGAAGAGGCCCTTCCATGGTCTTCAATACCCCAGAATACCTTTGCGCACCTCTGATAATAGAGGATTTATTAAGCCATGATCATGCTGACATGTCCATGATCTGTTCGATGACAGAAGTGTCCTGATTATGATTAGAACTCCGCCAATGATGAGGAGTGCGATCTGTCATTCCACAATACAGATTCGCTTCGACTCGCAGTCGCAAATATCTTTGAGCAGGTCATTTTGGTGACCGAATTTGTGGTAATTTATAAGTAGGTCATATTGGTGACCAGATTTGTGGTATTTTATGAGCAAGCACAAGGGTTCTTATTGCAGGTCCTACAACGATGGTTCCCTGCCTTGGACGTTCGTAAGTGGCGTACAAGAGAGTCTTTTCGAGTATAGGTCTTGGAGCTGCAAAAGCACATGAAGCTACTCGCCCGGGGGGAGTCATTCTTGAGTGCAGGACACGAAGGCAGTGCATTGTTGGAGCCCAGGTGACGTTTAAGGTCTTTTAGATGCTTTATTGACTGTCCGCATTGTTCGCATCTGGAAGGTGCCTTGCAGCTGTGCATATTGGCATGTCGATCATAGCGGAGCTTGTTGGGAAAAGACTTTGTACAAGTCTTACATATGAAGCTCATCCCTGCGGGCTCGATTGCAATTTTGCCGTCTGGTATGTTTAACCCAATCTGAGTTGTATCCGGTGGGCTTGCTACTTTAGGGGTGAGTCGACCGAGAGACGGCAATGAGGACGGGCTCGGGTAAGCTTCAATGCTCATATCGTTGGGAGTGGCTGGTGCTCGTGCGTTTGTCGCCTTTGAGTGGCGGGTTTGATGTGGAGATAATTGCGATTGCGAGTTTTCGGCTAAGGTCTGTTTGGTGGATTGATCGAGCCATGACAGAGAGGAACAACAAGGTTCGTGTACATGTTGAGTTAACAAACTGGGATCAATGCAACTCGACGTGTTTGAATACCCGACGCCTGAGGTTCCTTGGTGAACACTCTCGTCCAGGGTACCAAGAGGTGGCGGGATAGGAACGTCAACGCCAACACTCTTGTCACCGCCGCATATTGCATTGCTCAAATAGTTTGTCCACTCCAACAGGTCACTTTGTGAACACGCGTTGTTGCGCTCTGAATAATCAAGTATCTGACCGTCCACCAGCGAGACCGAATCGTATAATGGTTCATCAGGACTGAATTGGAAAGCTTCTGAGACAAAGAACAGATCCAGATCTTGCTCTATGCGATGATCACTGGGCAGTAGTTAGCACTAGCGCTATCCAGCCATTTTCTCGACATTGCATACTGGTTGTAGCCGGAGATTGTTCAAGCGGCCTATATAAGGCCGCTTAAACAAGACGCTTCTTAACAAGAAACTTGGGTTCACCCAACAGGTGCTTAGCGGATGCGGGGGTGCTGCGGTAGAGCCGCCTGATGGTCCGCGATGTGCGTCAAGCTCAATGTAGTATTCGGACGGTCGCGAAAGGAGGGTTTTAGAGAATTGAGAAAGAAAGGAAGGGGGCTACAAGGCTTATATGTGTGTCTACATACATGGCGTAGCTGGAGCGGATCAACAAAGCGTCTGATTGGTGGCCGCAAAAGACAGCCTCGAGGCTGATACACGCGATCAAATGTGGCCTACGTCAGTAGGGCGACAGCCATTGTCATGCGACGTGGCTTGATCGAATTCGTGCATGACAGAAAATAAATTCATGTGATGTTGGGTTGTTGTATTTGACAAGGCAGGGCCATGCTAGGAACATGATCTCATGTGACTATCTGCTGCTCCACACTCCACTTGCCTGGCTGCCTCCTTTGATACGTATGTACATACATCAGGCTTCTTATCGCCTGTGGCCTACAGGGTCGTTCTCTTTTCGTCCTTCTGCTTTGGTTTTTCGATGACAGCACATATGATCCAGTGATGTCCTCCGTCATTGAGGCGCAGTACTGCAGCCATTCGTGGCTGAGTACATTTCCTAAAAGCCACAAATTGAATTGCCAAGAGGCCAGGCAATAAAGCGTGATTAGGTCAAAATGTCCTCGAGTTCCTTCTAATTCTTGTCTCTCGGGAGTCCTTCTCCTTCGGCATTGATTCCTACCATTGTGTTCATAAAATACGGAAAAATTGCTTTTCCGCCCCCAATACCCCCCTCTGAATGCTTAACGACGTAGTCCATCTCGAACTTTCGGAACCAACCATGAGTGTGACTGATATTATGGCTGCTATAATGGAGAATTCAGAGATACATGGAGTCGAGGCGGATCTGAGTAGTATTCCGATTCCTCCCACCGGGCGTAATACTGCTCCTGGAAGGCCCATAGAGACCTCAGCCCACAACAATGGAGTACAAACTGGAGTAACGCATGAAAATCCTAAGGACCCTAATCAAAACATATTATCACGGGTTGATTTTGGCAGCGATAACTCTGGGTTTCAAGCTGGTGTCATTAACGGTGGTGTCCATGGCATCACCTTCCACTACTCACAAAATCAGTCGATATTCGGTAGCCTGGCACAAGGGAGCCAACTTCTAGACACATCCACATTGGAGATTCTCGCAAAAAGAGCTCAAGTCCAAGCCGGAAGAAGTGTAAGTACAACACTCAGCACCAGCAGCATCGTCAACGGAGAGGAACTTACTAGAGACAACATAGGTGCCTAGGCAGTTACAGGACAGATGCTACGCTCCATACAAGACCGTGAGAAACCGAAGAATCAAGTTGAGGCTCCTGCAGATCGCTGATGTCACCAAATTTCTCGATCGAGGCTTCGCGGAATATTTCCAAGTCGCCGTGCTCTCATTTGGCAAGCAACATGCCCAGCAGCTACTACAAGATGCCCGCAAGACGATAGCCAAAATGCAGAACAAGCAGGAAGATCCTGACTCTGCTGACATTGGCGATCTCGGCCACTTTTGCGAGCAGAGCGCAATCACCTCGGGTGACTCTAAGCAGCGGCCTCCAAGATTCACAGTTACCCAGCGGCGCGACGAAGAAATATTGCACTATCTACAAGATGCACTCGAGATACCTTACTGGGAATTCATGGTAGATATCTTCTTGGGATGGAAGGCGAACTCGAGTGCTCTGAGCGGAGATGTCGTGTTGCGTGTTTTGCACAGCACAAAACTGGAACTTCTTGATGGGCGGCGGCGGCTTATGGATGAAATGGCCGCTTTGCAGGGTGACGATGCAGAGGATATAGCACCGATTGTTGATGGAATTGATGCTAGAATAAAGGTCTTGGATAGCCTTTGGGACAGTGCATCGTCGAATCCTGATGGCACTCATCATTCATTGGTCTCCTTTTTGGAACAGCCGCTACACCAGCCTTTGATTGCTGTCGAAGAGGCGCCAATTCCATCTCAAGACGAGCAAATCGGACGTCAAGTGGTAAGAGCTGTCTTCTGCTTCTTACGGTGTAGAATACCCTAACGTATCAATGTAGGAAACCGCAACACTCATCGCCTTGATCCTACTCTTCATCATCGTCGCAATAATCCCCGGATACAAAGCCTTCGCGCTTTCCATGCAAGACAACGCAATTGGAAGTATCGGAGATGCCGATTTCTGGTACCTGATCCAAAGCAGTATCATGGCAGTGATGGGCAATGTCATCATGGTTGTACCCTTGTTCAAGAAGTCGTGGTTCTCGCCAGCATATGGTCTGATGTGGGGATTCTTTGCCCTCGGCCTTGCCTTTGCCATCGTCGCTGTTATCATCTACCCCTTGCTCAACCCTGGCTGGAGCTCCATGGTTGCTTTCTTTGGATCAATCGCATCAGTTGCGTCAGTGTTGATAATGACACAGGCGACTGCGAGGGAGGACACCAAGAATAAGGTCAAAACGGAATGAGCCCGGCACTTCCTTCAAAAAAAGATTAAACAAAAGTCCACCTTGATATCATTCAAACCAAGTAGTAGTATTACAATAACCAATGCGCAAATTGCAAATGAACACCATAAATTTTTCATACACACCGCTACCTTGCCCTTCAGATATACACTACCAGCCCCACCAATACCACAACAATCACCGAGCCCTCCCACCGGCACTACTCTCGGCCCTTTTCCCACCACGACTTCCCGCAACCCGCAAACACTTCCAAATCCAGCACTAACCCACGTGACCCAACCCGTCAACAAGTCCACTTTGTTTCCCGTTACCTAAAAAAAAGATAACTCTCCAAATCCATCCATCGAAATCACACAGAAACAAACAAGTTCAAGCCCAGTTACGCCTTGACCTCTCACATACAAAGCTTCATAACCTACCGCACGGGCAGATATGCAGTGAGATGCTTATCCTGTTTGTCGATGATCAAAGCGAGGAACTGGGATATTGAGTCAAGCCCTACGGCCGGGTGGGGGCATTTGCAAAAAGGTAAGAATAGCGGATGAAGTAAAGGTTAACGCGGGAGTGGCTTGCTAGGGAAAGTTTATTAGATAAAAAGAGAAAGATTCAAGGATTTTTTAATGGTTTGTATTGGAATCACGACAGAGTGGGAGTGTAGGTTAAGAAAGCAATGTGCGTGAGCACTGCGATTTATTGACTTGACATTACAGTAACATTTTTGTCTAATTATCGTAGGTGTGTTCCTCCATATTCCATCGTGATCAAATCATTGTTTGCGTTGCATAATCCTGTATTTACAAATGGATGTCGTTGTAGAGGCACTTGACGGGCTCAGGCTGGTAGGAGATCTTGGCGCTGAACTTGATGCACGAGGGGCTGGCGGGGAACTCTGGGTTGTCGACGTTGACGCTGAAGCCCTCGCCGTTGTGGAGGGGGCAGGCCTGGAAGCCGAGGGCGCGGACGCCCACGGGAGAGTGGTCGACGATGAACAAGTCGTCGTCCTTGACGAGGAACTGGGCAAGTTTGAAGTTCTCGTCGGGCTTAGGGTCGACGCCGCTGTAGAAACGGATGCGGCTGTTGCCGAACTCAGAGAGGTCGACAAAGGCCCGGCGGGGAGGGAGGTCGGTGTAGAGGTAGAGGCTGTTGACGTCGTTGTTGGTGTCGTTGCTCAGGAAGAAGCTGGCGAAGTTGATGTCGGGAACACCGCAAGAGGCGTCTTGCTTGGGACCGATGGCAAGTCCGTTATCGTATGCGGTGATATTTTGCATCTCGATAGGGCTGCTACCACTCACAGGGACGATCGAGAAGATTGTTGAGGCGCTGGCGAGGGCCATGGTGGAAGCGAAGAGTACGGAGGTAGAGAACTTCATGGTGACTGTTTGGGGTGTGGTAGTTGTGAAGGAGTTTTGTTTTGTAGCGAAAGTGTTGTGAGCTGGTTGAGGTGAATGAGAGCTACAGCACCAACTCACTCGACCTTATATACCTTTGTAGAACACCATCCATGTGGAACAAAATACGAGGGCGATAGCATGTCGCCGAGCGTTTCTCCATGAAGCCCCCGCAAAAAAACTATAAATACGATCGGAAGTTTAGGGTAAACGGAAAAGATGGAAGGCAGTCCCAATTCTGGTCGATGCGGCCGGCCCACCCGCGAAAATCTCCGGCTGACACCCGAAAAGGATCATACTATTAGTACTCAACGTCAGATCGAAGGCAAGTGCAAGGTATTTTTCTGGCCACAGGATGTACTTAGTAAGGTGCTCAGATTTAATGCAGAAGACCTATCTATTGAGGCGAGATGCCGGGTATGAGGGTGCAGAGACGGAATTTGGGAGAATTCTGTGAAAGGAATAATAACGTGATGACGTCGTGGACAAAGTGACGACGAGTTGGGTATGAGGTTACATACTGCCGTATTTCGGTGGCGAGGGACGGTGCCCATGCAGGGTTTGTACGAGAAAATTAGCACAGGCGGTAAGAAACAACGACGTGGTTTAGACTGAGGGAGGAAAATGATCGGTGGCGGTAAGCAGGAACAGGCTAGGAAGTGGAACCGGGATGCCAGAGTCGGTACCACGATCCACGACGGTAGGCGAAGAGCAGCAACGATGCCAAGGAGCATGTATTGCAAAGGATGAAGTTGATGTATCTATTCTGGTATAAAGTTCATGAGATACAACAGTGACTTTGTGAAGTGGTGGGTGCGCAGTCGATGTGAATTCGCGCTGCTACGGAACCATACCCCACTGCTAGTTTGAGTTGACCGTAGGAGATCAACAGTGTCAGCTCGTACATATGTACACAAGTACTGAGCATTTGTTGGGTCGTACGAGTCGCTTACTATGGACAGACGATGGTGACGGAGATGATCTTTTTTTGAGTGTGGACGATCACATGGCAGTGAGTCGGCAGTTGATGTCTTGGCAGCGCTATTGGGAGAAGTGCATGTGTGCATGTATGCCGACTTAGTGTGGAAGTTCTCTTGTTGGCGATATTCACAGAAGTGTTTACGGCTTGCTAGGAGGCATTTCAAGTGTGCGTAAGAATCCATGGCCAAGGTGGAGAGGCAGCCCCTTGATGGCGCAGCAGCCAATGAGGAGGGCGACCAGGTATGACGTTTAGCGCGGCAGCTTCGTGCCCTCGCCTCGCAACGTCTCGTCGCAAGCCCAGGTTGCGCAACACCAGCCTCTTGTCTCTTTCCCCCCCACGCTGCCCAACGGAGCCACATTCGATCATCTCATCTTCCATCTGTCGCCGTCGTCTCCGGGCTCCAGCCAAAGCTAGTCACCGTGCGGTTCCCTCATCTTGCCAGCCAATCTTCGGCCATGGACTTCTCCGACATTTTGTGAGTACACCTGGAGCTTTTGCGAGCTGCACACGACCGTGCAGCGCTGTGCAGCATCTCGCGCCAGAAGCTCCAGCCTCCGTCTTGTTGAAATGATGACTAATGCATCTTCAGTCGCATGGTGAATTTCGCCGTTGCCGTCTTTGTAGTCCTTGGCGGTATCGCGAAGCTATTCCCCTTCAACGACTTGTCAGTGTGCCCCATGTGCATTCCACTCGGATGGTCTCCAAGATGCCATTGGCAGGGTCTGGGTTCACTCGTCCCGCGCTGACAGTACTTCAGCTCCCACATCATCCTCGGTGTCTACCTAATAATCTTTGGTCTCGGTAAGTTGGTGCCTGGAGCTATGTGATGACGACTGCTGACACGGTCGCAGGAACCGCCCTCCTTGAGTTCCAGATCCCCCAACAAGTGGCGCGATATGCCTCGTTCATGTTCTCGTTCCTCGGCCGCGGCATCTTCTACATCTTTATTGGCTCTGTCGTCGTAGGTGACGGCTGGTACCGCATCATACCTGGCACCATTGTTGGCTTCATTGGTGTAGCCTATGCTGCTCTGGAGTTTGTTCCCTCGATTGAGCCCCCGGCGAACATGCGGTATGCTGAAAATTGTTGAAAACGCTTCTCGTTGCATATCTGACCGTACTTAGTGATGCCGATGCCGGCTGGGGCGCCGAGCAAGTCTAAACTTGACATTGACGACGAAGAGGATGGCGCTCGAAGAGTCCTCGTAAAGATATCGCCCGCAAGGTCTTCAGCCTAGGCGGAGATGCTGTCGCATGCTTTTCCTGCATCCAAAGCAGGGGTTGTGTGTGGTTGGTTGGCGAGAACAATGAGAGAAATTACTGCTGTTATAACAAGTTGTTGAAGGGGATCTAGGTCTCGACTTGGATTAGACGAGTGGCTACTCTGGAGTCTCAACTTGAGAAGGAGAGCAAGTCACTGCTTGGATTGGTGGGGTGTGTAGCATAAGTAGTGTGTAGGATAAACAAACAAGGTCACAGTACTTGGCGAGGGCTCGCTTGCTTGGTGTCCGCAGCACATGGGGCGGAGACATGTTGCCGCATGTATATGTGTATATATACCTGTGTATGTCGGTTGTCCAAGGAGGGAGCAGGGTATAGGTACATGAGCAGATGCATGGGATTGCTTTGGCTTGATTGGACGGTTGGCATGCATTGGTGGCGTGTGGAGAAGGTCGCGTTATCTATCGCTAGTCGTAGGCGAGCCGGAAGCCGATCCGCTGACAGTTGGTCCATTTGGCAAGGCTTGGGTGGAGACGAACAGGACTGATGAAGAAGGCGAGTGTTGCTGTCCGCTACAACTGATGGTTCAGGATCCTGGATGCCTGGGCAGCCCGGTCTGCAACTACTTGTGGTCGAGCGGTGGTTGGCTCCCGATGCAAACGGCTGCACGTGTAGGTACATGATGACGAGGCTGGACCGCTCTCCGCTGGCCGTCGTGTCCGCCCCCATGTTGAAGGCGAGGGTGGACGTGCTCACAGAGGGTCATGGCGCCAGCCATTGGCTTACAATAGCAAGGGCGTGATTGGCCACCAGCCGCCATTCACCGCCTGAGAAATCCATCTGGTACCGCACCAGCAGCGCACCTGGCCGAGTGGCCATGCTCTGTTAGATCATCACGACGGAGATCCCGAACCCACCTAATATATCTCCGTGCGAGGCACACAGCACAGCCCTCAAACCTGCCCGCCTGCCCGTTGACTTGACCTTCCCTGTGCTGCACCTGACCACCGTTGTACTCCTACGCCCCCAAGACCCGCATAGTCACCCAAATACACATTAGCGCCTCCTGCAACTGCCACTACACTGGCTAGCATATCACGTCCACGCTAGATCAAAGTCCGGTACCTGTCGGCCCAAGCGACTACTTGCGTCCTTCTGCTTCGGACGATTCTGTGTGTGCAATCAGGCAACAGTACATCACTGCCATCCCAACCACACCCCCATCTCCACACGCTTCCCATTCCGGGCAAAGACGAGGCTCCCGCCTCATGGCGCATCCCTCGGGAAGTGGAGGCACCTCATTTGCTCCTACTCCTACACATCCGCACCAGCTATCTAGAGAAACCAGCAGAGACGAATTGGAGATGGCCGAGAGTCTCCGCTTACTGAACCAGGCTCACGAACACCAAAAACCTAGGCCAGAGGCCACTTCGCAAGAGCAGCAGCAACAACAACAACAACAACAGCAGCAGCAACATACCAGTGTCCAGGATGACCAAAGATCCGAGATATACCACTCTCTTGAAGATGCTGTGCCCATTCCAGACGGTCCCCCAACCCCTTCAACGGCAGCATCGCTACAAATACCCAACATGAATTATGAGACCCCCAATGCATCCATCACCGGGCAGGTTTGCAGGTATGTTGTCTGCTTTTTCTGCAATTGCCTCATGTCATCTGCTATTGGCTGTGGGCGTAATGTTGCAAAAGGTCCGCAAGGAAGTCGCTAACGAACACAAGTAACTGCAAAACAACACAGACGCCACTATGGCGCCGGTCGCCTGCTGGAGAAACAGTGTGCAATGCATGTGGCTTGTACATGAAAGCACGGAATCAGTCGCGGCCAGTGAACCTCAAGCGCAACACACAGACTCAGCCAAGTATGTCGGTACAGCAAAGCCCAACTCCAGGATCTACCGATGGCGGCCGAACATGTGCTGGAAACGTTGCCGGTAGCCCGCGTGTCGCAACCTATGTTGCTGCCGATCAGATGGCGGCCGGGACATGCCCAGGTGGAGGCAGGTGTAATGGCACTGGGGGCCAGCAAGGCTGCAGTGGCTGTCCCGCATTTAACAATCGGGTATCAAAGACAGCCAAGTTTGCACTAGCCCAAGCCAATGCTGCGCCTGGTGAGAATCGGGGTGGAAGTGATGCCGCTTCTTCGACTTCTGCCTCTGCGTCAACAAGTGCAATCCCAGCTTGCCAGAACTGTGGAACCACAATCACACCACTCTGGAGACGAGATGATGCTGGACACATCATCTGCAATGCCTGTGGTAAGTTGGTAGTGCCATATCAACATTGATGCGCAGTATCGATAGATGACTAATCCTCCATGCAGGACTCTACTACAAGCTCCACGGAACCCACCGCCCTGTTGCGATGAAGAAGCAGGAGATCAAGCGTCGCAAGCGTATCGTACCAGCCGCTGACACAGGTTCGCAAGCCGCTTCATCAGTCGCAAACTACTCGCCTCCACAGAGACCTTCTCAAACCCCTGCATTCGAGCACTCGGTTTCCCCAGATCCATCAACTGCACTCGAGTCTCGAGAAGACTACACACCCGAGCCACCCAGGGGCCCAATCGCAGTCGACTTTACGCATTACTACAGCAATTCATCAGTAACTTCGAATTCAGTGGCCCTTACGCCAAGCATGCAGCCCAGCGCACCATCGCCCAGAAAACGAAGTCGCAGCGCGACTTTGGATCCTGAAGAGCCAGTAAATCCACTGCCTCACCGTCCAAACGCAATATCATCTATTTTGAACCCATCTCAGACAGACGTCGACGTCAACATTGACCCGTCGCTCTCCGTCCCGCTCCGCACGAGTGGAGGAACATCCCCCAATTCCACCTTGTCCCAGGAAGAAAAAGCAGCAAAAAGGGAGAGACTTAAGCGGGAAGCAGAAGCTATGAGACTAGAATTGGAGAGACGACAAAAAGAGTTGGAGGAATTGGAAAACGATTGATATGTTTAGATGATTATTATGAAACTCTCAGGGGAGAAATACTTTCTACGAATGCCTTATGTTGCTGGATACGCTATACCAAATGATAACGATAACTGGGTGGACGAACATGGCCATCAGGAATCTTTGTGGGATTTTTTACCAATGAGAAGTGTGTGTGAAATGTGGTGTCAAGGGGCCTGAGGAAAATGCATTATTGAGGTGTATTCCTTATTCGTTACTTTTTCTTCTCCACCATCTTGAAAGACTGGATCTTCACACAGAAAAAAAAGGCATCTGCATATGATTCATCTCCTCGATGAATTGGAAAAAGTGGGATATGATAAAAACAACACAGAATACACATCTCAGTCACATCTATAAAAAAAAAAGAAAGAGAAGCATTTACCCCCCTTCCCTACTCCCCCAACTATCCACACATCTTCAAATTTCCTTCACACACACCTAACCCTCTTCCCCACCCTCGCCTCAAAATACGGATTCCGGCTCATCTCCCCACTCCCCTCCCTCGCAAACATCCTCTCCTCATCCCACGCAATCAACCCCCCCTTCTCTACCAACCTAATCGCCTGCCCCCGGTCCTCCAACCCCATCGTACAAACGCCCTTATGCACCTTCCAATCCCGCTTCTGACACGCATCCGAGCAATACGTCGCTGTGCCGCATTTGCCGCAACGCTGCAACGCCTTGTCTTCTGTTGCGGTAGCACCGCACGTAGTACAACTGCTTAAATCGAGAGGTTTGTAGAGCCAGTGCGGCGACATGGGTATGCCGTCGCCCCAGATATCCATGGGTGCGTATTCAATGGACAGGTTGTGTTTTATGCGCTTACCGGTTTCCCAGCGGCGCGTAGTGAGGAGGCGGGTTAGGAGGGTGGAAGCGAGGCGCGGGATTAGAGCCGCAGAAGTAATATCGCGGGGGCCGAGCATGGATTCTTTTGGGTTGGCGATCCAGGTTCCTTTTTTCCACTTTTGCTTTTCTTCGGTACCATCTTGTTCCACGGTTTCTTCGGCTGTTGTTTCGTTGGCTTTTTTTTCTTCTTCTTCGGGTTTTTCTTGGCTTTCAGCGCGAGGTTCGGGGGTTTCGGTGGCATCGTCCAAAACGACGTTGTAAGTTAACATTATGGTCCAGTTCTCGCCGCTTGCGTCGAGTTGGCCGAATGTGATTTGGTTGCCGATACGCCCGATTTCTATCTTGCAGCCCGATGGCGTGTCGGGTTCGATGGAGACGGTCCATGTAAATGAGAACCAGGCGTCGAGATCGAGGAATGCGGCGAGGGCGTTGGGGTGCCAGTTGTAGAGGAGCGTTGCTATGCCTGTTGCTGGGGGAATGGTGATGTTCTTGTTGGTGGCTTCTGACGCTAGAGATTCTGTGTCGACAATGCTGAGGGGCGCGTTATCGACAGTTAAAGGTGCATCTGGGTAGTCTGGTAGCCGGAAGTCCGTCAATGGAATGTATTTGAGGGCCATTTTTTCTTTGGTGAGACGTGGGATAATGTGAGGATGTGCTGGGTCACGAGCGGATTAGGAATGTATGTAGTGTGTGAGTGGAGCGGTTTTGAAAATTCTCATTGGTTGGTTGGATAGATCGTGCGTACTACTGTGTTTACGATGCTCACATTAACGAGTTGTGTAAGGCATGTAAAATTTATTTTCCGGTTATATCAACAGCTTCTATGACTGGCTCGGTTACATGGCTACTCGCAACCACTTAGTTACCTCCGTATCCCTGTAGCTGGTGCGGCTTTGGTCCTTGTTGGATAGGCACGCTCTCCAATATACCCGCAAACTTTGTGAGCCCAATATCCGAACTGGTCAGGGTGTGCCTGTACTTGTTGCCTCCAATTTCAAACAAGAAGTTCATAGGGAACCCGATGTCAAATGGAACAGCTGAATCAATATCGTCAATCTCCTCTTCAGTTAGCTCGATTCCCAGCGCCTCAATGTTGCCCTTGAGGTGGTCAATCTTGCGACCGCCAACAATCGGGTAGACATAGGGGTACTTGTGTCGGACATAAGCAAGTGCAATACTGGTGATCTGGGTGTTCTTCTGTGCTGCGACTGCTTCGAGCTTCTTGGAGATGGCGATGTGCTTTTCGGAAGCGGGGCCAAAGTTGCGGCCTTGCTCGTTGTTTTTGCGCTTTTCTTCAGTGGTAAAGTTTCCGCCACCCAGGGCGCCCCATGGGCACAGTGCCATGCCCTCTTCGCGGGCCATAGGAATAATCTCGCGCTCAAAGTCACGCTCAGCAGCAGACCAGCGGCCTTGGTAAACACTGAATCCACGCAGACCATGGTTCCGGGCATCTGTAGCGAAGTTAGTAAAGTCGAAACACGTGGTTGGGATTGATGACGGTTACTGACATTCATTCGCCTTGCTGACAACCCATGCAGGCGTGTCACTGACTCCAAGGTACAACACCTTTCCGCTGTTCACTACAGCGTTAAGGGACTGCATGAGCTCTGGGATGCTCGTGGTGAAGTCCCACCAGTGCACGTACAACAAGTCAATGTAGTCAGTCTGGAGTTTCTTCAATGATGCTTCTAGTGATACGCGAAGAGATTTGGTGCTGTGAATCAAGTCAGCATACATTTTCATATGAATCTCCCCACTAGCACGTACCTGTTTCCTCCATAGTTGATCTTTAGGCGTGGCGCGTTGTTCGGGTCAGGAAAGCAAGTAGTGAATTTTGTAGCCAAGACCATCTGATCTCGTACTTTACGCTCCTTCATCCACTCGCCAATCCATGTCTCAGACTCCTCAGCCTGGTAGTTGTTTGCACTGGATCAATGTTAGCCCCATAATTCAGCATTCAAAGTGCTGAGCTGTCCAGTCCAATCACATTGTCTTGGATGATGCCGGCTAGATCAAAAGGTCGACTGACGTGTCAATAAAATTACCTCCTTGTTGGTAAAAGTAATCCAAAATCTCAAATGTAGTCTTCTTGTCGCACTTGCCCATGAAGTCTTGCCACGCGTCACCAAAGTTCATAGCTCCCAGGCAAAGCGGGGAGACACGAACACCGGCTGTGGGCGACATGACGCGGTGGAATTCCAGAAGGGACGCAGCCTTTGGCATATCACCGAATGGAGAAGGCATCTTGGATAATTGATGTATAATGAGATTGATGTATAATGAGATTGATGTGGTAAAGTTTTGCGGAGATCAGAAAGGGGGATTGTGTTGAACTGATTATTGCAAAGCCCATCGTTGCGGACATCAGCCCCTCTTTATATAACAACGGCGCCTTCGAACCTGCATGACGTAGAAAAGCCAAACATATTACTGAGTGCCTATATCCGGCTCAAAGTCCGTTGCAAACAAAGGTCAAACTACCGAGAGTCGTCGAGGACGATCATGATTCTATGGCGTTAAGGCCGGTGGGGGGAATGGAGCCACGATGCTTATCTCCGTCAACTACCGGGCGGGAGCGTCAAGCCTCGTACGTGTACCGTTTGAAAGCTGTGCAAAATTGCGCTTTTCAGAAGCTTGTTGAAGTCTATGTAAAACGAATATGTAAGCAAATGGAGCCAGTGGCAATCCGTAGACGGGTATTGGCCGAAAAATGCACAATATCACTCGAACAAGAAGATGCATAGTTAATACCCCGCTCCTAAAGTACAACAACCTCCTACGACACTTGTAACATACGCATCACCATATCCAGACTCGACCTTAGATGTTCTTCTTCAACAACAAGAACGTGCTCATTCACTAAAATTCATTGAGAAATCATTGTAGCCATATCAATAGGAAAGAGCAGTATTTTAATATGGACGATAGAAGACGCAAGTAACCACAATATACGTTGACTTTTCAGGGTATCCGTACCATGCAAAACTCCAGGTAGATGAATAAGATGAAACACAAGATCCGAGACGTTTGCATCTCAGCGGAAGCGACTAGTGCTTCTTCTTCTTTTTCTTCTTCTTGTTTTTGCTCTTCTTCTTGACCTCATCATCACCACCGGCGTCGGCCTCGCCTGCCGGAGCACCGAGACGGACATTTCCATACTTTTGCCGCATCTCCTGCTCAAAATTGTCCTTCTCCAGCCGGAACAGCGCCATGGTCGCTCTAGCATCCTCAACGGAACTATGGGCACCAACTTGTATCTCCACACCGAGCAACTTCTCTGCTAGCAGCTTCAGCCCTGGTGTGCGCCCCGGTATTGATGCCAACTCCCTAAACTTCGAAAACTTGGACGTATCGCGAATGAGGCGCTTGTCATGCTTCAGGATGAGCACGTCGAGATCGTTTTTCACGGCGTGTCCAACTAGGATGCGCCCTTGGAGCAGTATCTTGAGGTCGTTCCGTACTTCGTCAAAGGGCCGGGCGACATCTTTTCGCATGTGCTTGGGCTCAATTCCAGAGACGGCAGTTCGGTAGTCTGTGATCTCAATGTGCCGCGGTACCTGTACGTAGGAATCGTAGATCTGATGACCGTGATAATTGACCAGAGACACTCGCGCAAGCGCCGAGTCGCGATTGGGCTCTGGTCCTACTCCAACCATTTCACAATCCAATGCTACGTATTTGCCGGGTAGCGCTACCTCTGACACGCCTTCGTTCTCGACATCGGGGAAATCGGGATGGGGTTCGAGGATCGAGACCGCGGCTTCGGCATCCTTGGCATCGCTAAGAAGAGGGGTCTTCTTGAGCGAGGGCATCGACGTGCTCTTGGAGAGTGATTTTGTCTCATGTCGCTTGACTGAGGCACCGACAGAGGCAGGCTCCTCCATCTTTTGTCGCTTTCTCGAGGGGAGAGACTTTCGTGGTGTGTTTTTCTCTGAACCATTCAAAGGCTTTGCAGAGCCATGTTCTTGCTTCCCATTGGCGTGCTGAGATCTCTTGCGCTTGAGCGAGGCTTGCGTTTCGCTGTCCGGCTTCTTGTCCTTGGACGCTGCTGGTGTAGAAGGCTTGAGCCGTTGCTGTAGGATTTTCCAGTTGCTGGAGAGGCTACTCAAATCGATTGGAGCCATTCTGGAGTCACCTGCAAGGCATCGCGATGTGCGTATAGTAACCTGGCAGTGGATGTCGAGAATCTTGGCCGAGTAACTTTCTGCGCTGCAAAAGTTCAGACCCACGCTAGCACCTTCCAGATGCCGGCGGAAGCTCAAGCCCAAGCGCCGACGACCAGGCGGCAACACTGTGACAAAGACCTACGGCATCGCCAACTTCATCGCGACATTAGTCCTCACAACACGAACTGCAATCTTCTAAAGATCGAGCAAAAGATAGCGCATCACCATGGCGCCCCGAGAAAATTCTCACGAGCCGTCAGGTACTCCAGCACCGGTGGAAACGGGATTTGCCACTCTTGCGCAGCTGAGGTACGTATCAAACCATGCGCAAACTTTGAAGATGAATACTGATGCGCTGCGTGCAGAGTAGGCGTAAAGGCGTGGGTCGAAAAGGTACGTGGATAGCGCGCAGCGACGCCTTGCGCGACGCGAATCCTGGATCGCCAATACTGAGACAGCCAAATGATCACCAACTAACACCCCACAGGATGGCGAGAAACGCAAAGCTGAGATACTGTCAATACAGACACGGCAGGGCCGACCAAAGTTCTATGTGCATTATGAAGAGTTCAACAAACGTCTCGATGAGTGGATCGAGGCCGAGCGCATCGACCTATCTCGAGAAGTTGAATGGCCTGCCCCTGAGAAAGCAGACAAAAAGAAGGGCACTGCCTCTAAGAACGAAAAGGCGCCCTCAAAATCTGACCAAAAGAACTTGAAGCGCTCACGTAGCAAGCTTGATCGCGAAATCTCAGGCACACCAGAGTCAACGTCGAGCAACTTGCCAGGCAAAGCACCAAGGCCATCCAAAGCCGGCGGCAAGGAAAACCAGGAAGTCTTAGTCACCAGTGAAGTCACAGATGGCACTCCCAAGGCCGAGGATGAGGAGATGGACCTCGTCGACGTGCAGGACGCTGCTGCAGCTGCCAAAGCTATGCCTCCTCAGGACTTTTCGCGAGAAGACGAGATTGAAAAACTGCGAACATCTGGGTCCATGACACAGAACCAAACCGAGATCTCACGCGTGCGAAATTTGGAGAAGATTCAGATGGGCAAATATGAGGTCGAACCCTGGTATTTCTCACCGTATCCCATCGACTTTGTAGACTCAGATGTCGTCTACATCTGCGAGTTCTGCCTATCGTACTTTGGTGAAGTAACGCAGTTTGAGCGCCATCGCACAAAGTGCCACCTTCTCCATCCACCTGGCAACGAAATCTACCGCGACGACTATGTGTCCTTCTTTGAGATCGACGGGCGGCGACAACGAACGTGGTGTCGCAACCTCTGCTTGCTCTCAAAGCTCTTCCTAGACCACAAGACACTCTACTATGACGTTGACCCTTTTCTATTCTATTGCATGTGTACGCGCGATGAGCACGGTTGCCACTTTGTTGGCTATTTCTCCAAAGAGAAAGAGTCAGCCGAAGGCTACAACGTAGCCTGTATCCTAACATTGCCTCAGTATCAGAGAAAGGGATTTGGTAAGCTGCTTATTGACTTCTCTTACCTCCTTTCCAAACGCGAGGGCAAGCTGGGATCGCCGGAAAAGCCCTTGTCTGATTTGGGTCTTCTCGGATACCGTGCATACTGGCAAGAGATCCTGGTCGATATCCTTATGGAGCCCGGCCGTTCCGAAGCCAATATCGAAGACTTGGGGGCCGCGACGGCGATGACAACAAACGACGTACTGCACACTCTACAAAACCTAAACATGCTGCGATACAGCAAGAACCAACACGTCATCGTACTCACAGATGCAGTTATTGCTCAACGAGAGCGACAGAAGGCAAAAGAAAAGTTGAAGGGTAAGAGAAGTATCGACCCCGATCGTTTGATTTGGAAGCCGCCTGTGTTTTCAGCAGCTAGTCGTACCTGGAACTGGTGAAGGGTTGCTGGCTTTCTTGTTTTGCTCTTCTCCAGCGGTTCTGCAATTTTGCTATAGCCTCTTTTTTCGTTGATACTTTGTTCTTTGAACTAGCTATACCCCAATACATTAGATTTGTTCATCCCCGGCCTGTCAAACCGGTCTCGTTTATGCTGGTTGTTCAACAGAAGCTGCAGTAAGCATGTGAAGAGTGGTTAAAGTTTGTACTCAGATGGGCGACTGGAATCAATAGTTAATGGGAACAACCCATTGCCCATAGAAGGTGAAAGATCGACATTGTAACGTATTACCCCGCTGGATGCAACCTCGATCTTAGACTACTCTTGGTCGCTTGAGCGTACAGCTAATGTATGCACGTATGTTCATGGCTCCAGCGTCAGAGTACATACCTTGCGGGGAAATTGCGCAGGAACCTATTCCCACGAGTGATAGGTATGCATCATACGATATGATGTAGCCGCACAGGAGCAAGATGAATAATAATGATCCTTGTTAAATATGATGGAGACGACTACTGGATGACAAAGAAGGCATCTCAGTGACATTTCCAAAAGCCTTGATTGACTCAAGTCCCCTGCAGATGGTAACCACGGCATATATTACTCGAAGATCATTTTCAATTACTTGTAACCACTGTTCGAGGCCGAATGCATGCATTAGTCATGAACCAACTTTCAGAAAGCTAGTGTTGAGAAATTCACGTGATATGGATTGGTTCACCTTTCTTTTGCCGGATGAGCGAGGAAGCATATTTCTTTTACTTTCTCGGCTTCAATGTATTTCTCCAGGTCAATTTAGGCAGGGATCGCTTTTATGGGGAACTATGCACGGTATATGTTGTTTTTCCCACTCTGTTTTCCAGGAACGCAGACGTAATGGTGGACATGAACCTTTCCTGACTTACCTACATTGCATCAATGTAAGTTGGTTGCACCATTGCCGAAGTCCAGCTGGCTCCATTTCTGCGTGCATACTTGCTCTGGAACCATGAGAGGAAATGTGTATATAAACTGGTGGTGTTCGCCTTCGTTTCTACTCACTCATCAAGCAACAACTTCTCTCTTCACCAATCCATCAACAACTTTTCAATAACCGCTCTCCCAGCTATCAGCTCTTCGCTCTCCCAGCTATCAAAATGCAGTTCACTACCATTACCTCCCTCCTCTTTGCCGCTAGCGGCCTTACCAGCGCTGCTTCCCTCCGTCCTCGTCAGGACGCCTGTGAATACCACACAGCGGGCGACTACACCTGGAGGGTCAGCCAATTTGTCGGCCGCAAGCCCGAAGCTACGTACTACAACATGATTTCTTTCCATATTGCGTCCACCAACCCGGGATCTTCTTTTGAATGGACCTGTTCCGCCAGTGCCGACCGCATGGAGGACAGCGTCTTCTATTCGTGCGGCGATGGCTTCCAGTTTGCGTTCGTCAATGAATATAACGGCTTGATTTTCAAGTACGGCACCGAGTAAGTTCAATCTCAACTAAATTCCCATCTGGAAATGCAGTTTTGTGGATTTCAAGGTATACTAATAATTACTCCTTTGTTACAGCAACCCGATTATGGGCACTGTTTCTCTCCCTATCGTCTGCCGTGCGGGCGGCGCGGGCGCCAACGACCAAGTCTGCGAGACTTTCCAGGATCGCTGCATCACGCTTCTTGAGCACCCTAGCAACTAAGTTGGACTATCGTAGGATGACATTTGAAGGGGTAATTGATGCAAGACGACGTGCATAGGGTGATTAATGGTGGAGATGGGATTGCCAACTAGTATAATATATAATTAGCGTACCTAATTTAAGCATTCAACCCGTCGAACCAACGAAACTATATTCGTGAATGAAACATGTGCTATTCTCTGGATACTATCATGGTTGCGCCGTTGTTGAAAGAAGCATGAAGAAAAGGTGGACAGTCTGCATGCAAGTCAATCCCACTCTAATTTGGATACGTAGTACCAGACCATGCAGGTCCAACCGACCATGAGCCCCAAAACAGCCCTACTTGCATTCCCCCACACAAGTCTCAACATCGGACCATCGGACGAAGTCGCACGACAATATTCCCACGTGAAACACATGTCGCGCCGAAAGATGCACGCTTGAAACTTCAAAAGGGTCCCTCGTATCCACGTGACACACGCGACGCGTTCCTATAACACCAATCCCTCACCCCTGCCCCTCTTACCATCCCCAAAAAAAAGATATACACCAACACAAAATGTCGCTTTTTGCCCGCGCCAAAGATCTGGCACTGAATCCAGACCACACCCGATGGATAACACCTCTCCTCCTCGTCGCCGACGCAGCCCTCAGTGGCGTGATAATCGAGAAAATACCGTGTTCGTCAACCCCCGTTTACCACGTGGCCTCGACATTCCTTATTCCCATCCCCCGAAAAAATTCATATAACCACATCTAACCGTTTTCGGTTTTGTCCCTGTCAAGCGAAAACTGATTTCCAAAATGATTAGACACAGAAATAGATTGGTCAACTTACATGCAGCAAATCGCCATCTACCTCAAAGGCGAGCGCGACTACAAGCTCATCTCCGGATCTACGGGCCCACTGGTGTATCCCGGGGCGCATGTATGGATCTACAAGCACCTGTACAAGTGGACGGATGAGGGGCGGAATATTGCGCTTGCGCAGTATATTTTTGCCGTGGTGTATTTGATGACGCTTGCGCTTGTGATGCAGTGTTATCGAAAGGCCAGAGTGAGTTTTACCTTTCTTTTTTATTTATTGACTGATATCCTCTATTTAGGAGGGGTGTTTGGAGGCTGGAATTTTAGTGCTGATGGTGATATAGGTACCCCCGTATATCTTTCCGCTACTCGTCTTGTCGAAGCGGCTGCATAGCATTTTCATGCTGCGGTGCTTCAATGATTGCTTTGCTGCGTTGTTCTTTTGGTTGGCTGTTTACTGCTATCAGCGCGACCAGTGGCATTTGGGAAGCGCGTTGTATAGCACGGGGCTGAATGTCAAGATGAGTCTGCTTCTACCATTGCCGGCAATGGGCATGTTGATGGTGATGAAGCTGGGTGGAAGGGAGGCGTTGACCCAGGCTATGATTATTGGACAGATCTCGGTACGTATAATTTCCCTTCACCAAATACGCATAGCACGAATTATTTCAATACTAATTATTCAAAAGGTTCTATGGGGCTACCCTTTCAGAAAACGCGCACCCAACTACTTTGCTCGCGCCTTTGAACTCAGCCGGGCCTTTTTCTACAAATGGACCGTAAACTGGCGTTTTGTCCCGGAGTCTACTTTCCTATCCCGACCTTTCGCCCTCAGCCTGCTTGGCCTGCACGTCGTTCTTCTGCTCTGGTTTGCACGAACCCGCTGGATGAAACCATCCAAACGCAATGTTCGGGAATTCCTCAAGCTTTGCCTTCCCGTCCTTGAGCCTAGAGACCAGGACATCATGTCCAGCAAAATCACGCCACACTTCATCATGACGGGTATGTTGACTGCAATGACGATTGGTCTCCTTTGCGCAAGAAGCCTGCATTACCAGTTCTATGCGTATATTGCATGGTCGACGCCTTTCTTGCTTTGGAAAGCAGGGTTCAATCCAGTTGTTGTGTATGCGCTATGGGGCGCGCAAGAGTGGGCGTGGAATGTATATCCGAGTACTCCGGCAAGTTCGGCGACAGTAGTAGGAGTTTTGGCGGTCACGGTCGCGGGTGTATGGTGGGGGACAAGGAAGGAGTACGAGGGCGTTACAAAGGGCATCATCGAAGAGGACCACCCACACAAGGAGTGAAGCAGTTTTCAGGAGAAAACTCACTCCTCATCCGAGTCTGTAGGCGGCATCTTGCCAACGGTAGATTCTTCCTCGTCGCTGTCCTCGACGTAAGTGGATTTCTTGGCGAATTCCTTGGGCCTGTAACATCATGTCAGCATCCTGTACACATAGCAACCTATGATACCCATGTTCATACCAGTAGCTCATCTTCCTCCACGCCTTCTCGTCTCTGACTATATTGACAATCTCCCCATCCAGCTTATTATCCCTATCCGCCAGCGCAGATGTGTCCACCACTACGTAGCTACCCCGCTTTATCCATACCGTTGACCGGAACTTGGGCTCGAGCTCCGCGAGAACAGGCTTCCCATCCGGAAGCTCTGCAGAGTAGAGATTCTTTCCCTCGGCCTTGGTGATGCGCGCGATGAAGTGATTGGGAGGGAGCTCGTCAGGCGGCGTGATGGTGCTGTCTATCGTAGCGAGAACCTTGCGCTTTGGTGGCGGCATCCTGTTCAGAAACAACTATATCGATTGTGTACAGAAAAGTGCGATGTGTGGAAAAACCAAAGACCCATACGTCAGAATCTCTTCCGTTGTTGTTTCTCCAATGGAGGGGTCGCCCAAAGTTCGCAAAAAAGGAAATTTTGGCCGATCCGCCCCAACCCCCACTCCACCCATCCATCCACCTGCAACCCACCGCCCGCCGCGTAAACCCCAGCCGCCGCCCGCCTGCATTACCCTAAATCTCGCACTTTGATCACCGTTTAGGTATCGCTGCCGTTTTTATGCATGCCTCGGTCCAGATCTTTTCTACATTTTTTAACATTCCGGAACCTCCAAACTGCGGATACGTCGCTCGATTCGAAAGGGATCTCCAATCTCTACACCAGCGGTGAAACGGCATGTGACTCTGCTGACCGTTCAAGGCGACGTTGACGTACGTGGTTGGACATTCGCACTGCAGTGCAAGTACGAAATGATTACGCTGTAGTATTTGATAGGTGTTTTAGCCGTAGCCTGGCTCTTGTTCATACTTGCACTCGGCATAGGTTAATCTTCGCAGGATTTATCAGCAATGGCGTTAGTGACTTTTTAGGACCTTAGCACGTTGTTGAGTGCCTCTTCGTACACTTCCGCTTTGAGCATTTTTCGACATTCCCCACATTGGGGGCGCTCCCGCCAGACTACTATGATATGACTCCACTGATCTCGGGGTACAATTGAGTTATAAGGACGTTTGCAATTCCTCATCCCGTTTCCCTTATCTCGCGTCCAGTCTTTTCGACCGAGACCGGCGCTACTGTGATTGGCTACAGTCTCAAGTGCTTTGCTTTCCTCTTCAACAGCCGTTGTGTGGCTTTCCAAACACGCAGAGGACTCGTCAAGATGTCGGCATCATTTCACAGCCTCTTTGATATCCAACCTGGTTCCCAAATCGCAAATCCGGAACCTGCTTATCAGAAGGGTACGAACAAGGCACCGCATCATATCGGTGTTTTACCGGATGTTGAGCTTCATGACTTTGCCGTGAAAAAGGATGGCAATAACCGCCAGCAGTCTGCCTCGAGGCAATCAACGCAGAATGGGGCCGTGACTCCAAAGACACTTACTGAGCTCGAGAATAGCCGGCCTGCAACACCGACCCATGATGATGGGTTCGCTCGTGAGCGGACTTGGAACGCTGACCCCATGACCAAATGGAGGATCTTGTGCTGCTGCTTGATCTACTTTTCCAATGGAATGAACGATGCAGGTATGTAGGAGAACTACTGCAGACCTACCAATCGCTGTTCAACAGCGCTTTCTATGACCCGGTCCTAACAATTACCAGTCGTTGGTGCACTTATTCCCTATATGGAAAAACACTACCACATCTCGTACACAATCATGTCTCTAGTCTTCGTCGGCACTGCGGCTGGTTTCATCATCGCTGCTTTCTTCACCAACTCGGTCCTGGGGAAGTTTGGCAGAGCAAAAACACTAGTTATCTCAGAGACGATACAACTCTCAGCTTACATCGTATTGGTCTGCACACCTCCTTACCCGCTTGTGGTACTATCGTAAGTACTCAACCCCAAATTACTGGCAAAAAACTAACGAGGAAAGCTTCTTCATGTTGGGATTCGGTGCCGCTATCAACCTAGCACTGAACAATGTCTATTGCTCACACACGCATCCTCCAAGCGTCATTTTAGGCATGGCACACGGCAGTTACGGCGTAGGTGGCATTATTGCGCCCATCGTCGGAACAGCCATGGCCTCGAGTGGCATCCTTTGGTCCCGCTTCTACTTCATCGCTGTCGGCATAAGAATCTGTTGCATAGTCTTCGCCGCCTGGGCTTTCTGGTCCTTCAAAGAGGACACCGAGGATAATCTTCTGGAAACCACTATTACCCAACAGACAGCCACAGAGGAAGCAGCGTCGAAGCTGAAAAACCTCAAGCACGCCTTGAAGAACAAAGTCACATTCTTCGGGGCCTTGTTCATCTTCGCGTACCAAGGTGCCGAAGTCAGTATCTCGGGCTGGTTCATCTCGTATCTGATTAATTATCGAAACGGTGACCCTCGCACAGTTGGTTACGTGACGGCTGGATTCTGGGTGCGTTTCTCTGTCATTTCATCGCGATATATAGTATACTGACAATGTTTCCAGGGCGGCATCACAATTGGACGCTTCGTCTTGACGCATGCAGCCCCAAGGATTGGCGAAAAGAAATTTGTCGTCATCCTGACACTCGGCACGGTTGGCCTTCAGCTTTTGGCCTGGCTGACACCAAACTTGATCGGTAACGCGGTCGCCGTATGTCTTTTGGGTCTATTGCTTGGTCCGATCTATCCTTGTGCTTCAACCATCTTCTCGCGTCTGATGCCCCGGAATATCCAGACTACTGCCATTGGCTTCATCGCTGGAGCAGGCAGCTCTGGTGGCGCCGTCGCTCCCTTCACGACTGGTATCCTTGCGCAAGCGTCAGGAACTTGGGTTCTGAATCCGGTATGTCTCGGTATGTATGGAGCCATGTTGGCTTGTTGGTTTGCGCTGCCCAGGGTACGCAAGCGAACTGAGTAGATGGATCGTACATGCGACAAATTCTACGTCAGTGAATATCACTATCCAACATGTTGATTCAGCATGTGCATCGAGTGTTGACGGTGCATATCAGCTCAAGGCGTTCCACAATTGGTGGTTGTGAGCACTGCGACAGGTTATCAGAGGGACCCACTAGCTCACCATGACATCATTCTTCAACACCATCGGGACCCGTGGAACGCGCGTTGGATGTCTCAACCCAGCAGCAGTTACTCATATATCAGTAACTCTCAGTTAGAATCCAAATAGAAACAGACAAAATTTCCAAGCTCTTCAAGTCTTCCATAGAAACAAAACCAACCTTTTATACTTTTCCAGAAAATCACAGCGAAAAAGGAAAATCCGACCAAACAAAATGTCAGCGGAACAAGCCCTCCAAATCCTCAGCATATCCACCGCCCTCATCGCCTCAGGCGGTATATCCGCCTTCTCCCTCTTCTCCATCCCCATGCTAAAATCCCAACCCGCATCGCGCTCCCTCCCCATGGTCCGCTGGCTCTTCTCACGCGGCTCCCACATCTTCCCCACCGCCGGCATCCTCTCCAGCACCAGCTTCCTCCTCCTAACCTACCTCTCCCTGCTTTCCTCCTCAACCTCCTCCCTGCAAACCCTCTTCAGCGCCGCAACCCACGGCCGACCAGCCTATTTCCTCGCCGCATCAGCACTCTGTATTAGCATTGCGCCAATCACGAGTTTACTGATGATACCAACGAATTTCACGTTAATCAAGATAAATGAGGAACTAGGGGGAACGCGGAGTGAGAAGTCGGCGGAGTGGAGGAGGGAGAGGGGGGTAGAGGCGAGGAGTGCGGATGAGTCGGTGGAGGGGGAGGAGGATGTTAGTCAGTGGAAGGATTTGAGTCCGCCGCAGGAGAAGACGGGGAGGGAGAGTAGTCAGAAGGAAGATGAAGAGGTGAGGGCGCTGCTGGAGAAGTTTACGAGGTGGAATGCGTTGAGGGCTGTGGCGATTGGGGCGGGGGGTGTGGTTGGGTTAATGGGGGTTATGGCGTAGATTTTTGATAAGGGGGGATTTTGGAATTTGAGGGGTGTATAAAGTGTAACCGGCGATGTACCAGTGTGTTTGATTGGTTGATCGATTTTGTAGGATTTTGTTATAAGATCTTTATATAAGTTGGGGGTTGTGGCTTGGCTCGAGTACCGCGTACAAGCCAAGAAAGTTGGGGTTATACGAGATGCGATTTGTACGACGAGCTACTAGTTTTTGTTCTCACATGCTTGGGATGTGAGGCTAATTAGTTAGTTTGCATGTAATCAATAATACTAAACTTAAGTACATTCCATCGCGATGCTAGTACGATACTCTTCACTCAGCTCGCTTGCTGACCCCGCAACAAGGGTTACACTTCATCGACCCTGTTACTCCCCACATGGACTTTACTATACTCAACATTGCTATCTAAACTAGAGAACCCCACACTTATATACACTATTACCTTCTCCGCCACTTCAGCCTTATCCGAATAATTCCCAACTCACCAATCACATTCCCGACCCCATCCTGACGTGCTCGCCAAGCTAAATGGCGTTACCGCCCCATTGCGGAGGCACATATCTGACATCAGCAGGCCTACATGTATAGCATCGTACCAATGAGAGCGGAGGAAACTGGGTGCCTGAATAGAAAGCATAAATGAGAAGCAAGCCAAATAGATAAGATGCCGCATCCTTACCTTATTTGCGAATCTACCAAGGACGATTGAGTGTTGGGGTACATGTAGCATCTTACTTACATGCCTGTTCCCCGTCCTATAAACTACAGATCGTGCTTTTCCCCAGCAGCGTATATCTTTTGTTTGAGATATTAGGGAAGCATTTCAGCAAAAAATGCACCGCGCCCTCACCCTCCCCGAAGTCCTCCTCTCCATAATCTCTTACCTTCCCACCCGGGACCTCCTAACCTGCCATGCCGTCTCATCCGGCTGGCGCCGCATCCTCGTCGCAAACCTACCCGCTCGAATGCGTCCACTACCCGACACACCCTCCTCTCCTCTCTTCCAAAAACCCACGCTTGTCCTACCAGATCCCATACGCAGCCTAGCCCGTTCACTCAATCTCCGGCCAAAAGAGCTCATTGATTGGATCGCCCAGCCAGAGGTCGAGACTGAATACCTGAACTGGCGGTTTGCGGTGACAGATGAGCTTCAGGAAGCGTTGGGACCGTATATGCATCCTTTGATAGCGGCGCATGCGTATGATTTGACGGGTGGGATAGAAGATGTAGCAAGGGGGCAGATGGGTATTTCCATTGGGACAGAGATGAAGCTAGAAGAGTTTGAACGGATGCTTGAGATAGGAGATAGTGAAGAGGAAGGGATGAAATACTTGACGCAGCCAGTGACGAAGTATGTGGAGGTGAGGTGTTTGGATGGAGCGGAGTGGAACGAGGAGTATATGAATGTACGCACGACACAGGATGACAAGGAGTGGTTAAGAAAATGTGTTAGAGTTGAACGGGAAAGTGGGGTTAGAATGTGTGATGTTGTTGATGAGTTGAGGGGGGTTATTGAAGCTGAATGGACCGTGCTGCAAGGATGTGGTAAAGTGCTGCTGGATTGGCGTATGGGTCATTGTCCCGAGAGGCATGTTTTCTATGCTTTTGATCGTACGGGGTGATTGATGGATGTGATTTCGTCGGGGCATGTACGTTTGCCGCGATCTGCAGACGTCTGCATGTTGCGGCGCAGGGTGAAAAAGGATGCGGACAGGTTCCGAAACCAAAGCACAAACGACACCAAGGTACCGCTTGGATGAGGGGCTGATAGTGATGAAGATACGGGAGACAAGAGTTCATCAGGAGAGAAAGGCAAGATGAAAAACAGGTAGTGACACAGTGTGAGAGGCACTACAGAGATGGCAGCCTACCCCAAAGATCTGGCCAAGTCAAAGCAGAGATATGACCATCGGGAGAAGGGAAAGAAATGAGAAGGGAAAGTGAACCATAATGATTATAATTCCAATATTCGTCCAAAATATTACCGACCAGCATCCAGTGTTGGCTTCTTGAAAAAGTTTGATACAAGAAAGATTGATGCACTGACCCGATACCGTCTATCTATCGCTGATCTTGACTCGCAAAGACGACGAACAATGCGTACATGGCTTAAAAGTTCATCAAATCTAGCACTCGTTAGTCCACAGTCCTTCTTACACACAAACAACACTGTACTCACCTCGTCCGAAAAGTGCTCTCTTGGTCCAGTCCATGGCAAGCAGAAACCTTGTTCGGAGACTGACACTCTGGGCAAAGTATACTCCTCTCCACAGGTAAACAGCCAAGAGGCCTCCACTCAACCCGTAGCCGTTGTAATCGAAAATTGCGGCGTTGCCAATATATGCCAAGGAACCCAGGTGCTTGTACTCGAATGCCTTGTACACTGCATCGTCCAAGTCACCATAGTCGACATTGTTCAGAGCCATACCTGGCGCAGCCTGGGCAATCTTGTTGAACTTGCGGCCAAGGTACTCGCCCTGCTGGTTAGCGCGCTGAGCGGTGGCAGGGAGGGAAGTGAGCTTTGAGTCGATTTGGAAAAGCAGCTCTCTAAGCTCACCAAAGTCGAGAGTGCCCGACTTGTCTTTGTCGTATTGCTCAAAGAGCTTGTCTAGACGGCGGAGATGGTTGGAAGCTTGAGGAAATCGCTGCTTGACACGCTTAGCAATGCCACGCCAGTCCGAATAGGAAATGTGCAGGCTTTCAGGGTCCTTGCCCTTCTCCCAGGCCGTAGTGCGGAGAAAGTTCACAATGTGATCAGAGACGTTATTTTGTACGGTTGCGCAGTCACCGATGGCATAGACATCTCCAAGGGGTGCTCCGTGGAGACGGAGATGTGTATCGGTTTCCAGAGCATGTCTGTTGTTCTGACCATCGAGTTTAGCAGCAAGACGCTTGCAGAAGTCTGTTTGAGCCACGCCAGTAGACCAAAGACAGAAGCCCATGGGAATTTCCTTTGTGACAAACTTGCCATCTTCGTCTTTTTGTGTGAAGAGAATCCGGTCTGATTGAACCTCCTTGACACGAGAATTTGTGAGAATGTCGACCGAGTCGTGAGCGAAGCGTTGCTCAGCATATTGAGATAATGCTTCATCGTAAGTATTGAGAATGTGGCCACGCGACTGAATTACATGAACAGAAATCTCGTTGCGCAAAAGCTTTGGGTATAGTTTGCAAAGGTCCTCGTTGAGCATGTCAAAGAGCTCAGCCGCGAACTCTACGCCAGTAGGTCCACCCCCACAGACCACAAACGACAAGAGTCGCCGCCTCTCTTCGTCTGAAGTTGTCGGCAGACACGCACTTTCGAGGTTCTTGACTACTTGATTGCGGATGATCCTGGCATCGCTGATATCCTTGAGGAAATGGCAATGTTCTAGGCCTTTGACACCGTGTGAATTGGACACGGATCCAACACCAATCACCAGCTTGTCGTATGGAACGTAGAACCGTTGTTCCTTGCCTTGGGCATCTACAGCTGAACACTCAACAAGCTTCTCCGAAAACTCGACGTCTTCGGCTTTTGCCTTGAGGAAATGTCCACGCACTCTCCTCACTATCCTTCGGACGGGCTCAACAAGCGATCGCAGTTCCAGCGTACCCACAGTTGCAGACGGGAGCATAGGTGTGAAAAGGAAAGTATTCGATGGCGAAATTACTGTGACGTGATAATCATCCTCGTTTAGTTGCTTCAAAAGCGCGACGCTGCCCCATCCCGTGCCCAGAATGACTAGCTTGGGTTTGTGCTTGAGCTGTTTGTTCTCAGGGCTCTCGTCATCGTCTACAAAGTGATTGGCGATTGGAAGATTCTTTGGTCCTCCTCTGGGTGGATTCAGAGCAAGTTCTGATACAGGGAGGTCTTCGGTGATAGGGTCCTCATTGTAGGTGTAGGCATCGTAAACGAAGAAGCCGGCGACAAGAATGCCGCTCACAAGGACGAAGGAGCCAAGGGTTGCTATTGTCCTGTATGTGTATCGCACCAACCGTGACCTTTCCGCTGGGTGTGTCCTCGTAGATTGGTTTCGTATGACGGTAGAGGCGGGGTATTGCTTGCTCAAGGGGGATAGCTGCAGGGTAGCGCGTTTGGACGCAGACACGGGGCTGCCATTGCTAAAGGAGGTGCGGAATTGGGAAGTCGGAGGGCGAGGAAATCTCCTACACAGAAGAGGAGCTCTAGAGGTGATATTGTATCCGCGCGACAGCGATGTGGCGTGCCGTGGGAGCATTGTGGAGGATCCGAGTGGTAGCGATGCAACCGGAAGCAGGAGTGGGAGTAGTGATTAGGGAGATTGCGGGCTGAACGCGCCCGAAAGGTATGTCGGCAATTGGACCACAATTGCAAAATTAACGCAGTGATATCATATGGAAGGGGCAGCAAGTACCTTCTGGGTATGTCACAGTTGCGTAGAGACAAGTAAGAAAGGTTGCTGGGAAGGGCGGAAATGTTTGTCGGATGCCGGGTTACGTCACCATCAATAATGATGGGTTGATGGCTGAACTCGGAGCTTGCCGGCCACCCCTGCATGCCTGTCAACCAGGTATTCTGTACCCACTACCACATATGCACACGACAGTCGCGCAACTATTTCAGAAAGGAGAATCGCAAAGATAATATTCTACATAGACATACTATGTTCCGTGTATAGAAACGCCCAGGCGTTAAGAATACAGCAAACGAGGGCAAAGATCATCTTCTAGTCGTACAACACCATCACCATGTTCATGCCTGGCCATGTATGCGTACACTCCAATCGTATATACATCCATCTCTTGAGCCACCATCACTCCGCTACTTCTAGCACGACCATATGCCAACTGTGCCGTCCTTGCGTCCTTCCACGAGATAGCCATCTTTGATTCTCACGTGCTCAATGATGGAGTGTGTTGTCGTGTCTTCTTCGTTGGCACCGGGTCCACAGTTCCAGTGTCTTCCGTCCGTCTTGTCGTATACCTTGACTACATCCTCACCAGCTGCACTGACAATACGACGCGAGTCGAACATCATGCTGGTTACAGGGTGGTCGTAGGCGTAAGCATCGGCGATAGCGCCGGTTCGGAGATCCCAAATCTAGATTACAGGTTAGCGACATGATTGTGTAAGACTGACTCCAACTTACGCGAATACTCCTATCGGCGCTACCGGTGACAAGGTGAACATCGTCGAATTGTAAAGCAGTGACAGGACCGGTGTGGCCAACCAGACTCCTGTGTACCTGACCGCTTCGCAGATCCCACAGGCGAACCATTCCATCTGCGGTACCACAGGCGAGTGCAGCATCAAAGACTTGGATGGCTCCAACGAAATCAGCAGCACTATCAGTAGCACGGCCAGTCTGTTTCCATCCACTGTTGGTCGTGTTTGCGGCGGTTGCTTGCGCAGCAGCCCAGAGCACATCCAGCGTTTGCACACAGCGTCCTTTGACAAGATCCCATTGCCTGAGTGTCTTGTCGGCAGAACCAGAAACCAATGTGTCACCGCGGAAGTGGAGCGCCGTGACTTCGTCAACATGCGATTCCAGAGAAAACATGGGGCAGTCTTGCATGCTAGTCGACGGAGGCGCGGGGGGCGCGTCTTCTGCGTTTTCGAATGCAAGACCATCATCACTTTCCTCATCCTGCTTGTTTATCCGGTTGTCCATAGGCGCATACTCGGCTTTGCTCAGATCCCACAACCGTATCGAAGCGTCCATTGAACCAGTGGCGACAATGTTGTCCTCGACCTGAAGGCAGCGTACTGAAGAGAGGTGACCCTCGAGCATTCCTATGCACCGTCCAGCACTGAGGTCCCATACGCGTACAGTGTCATCCAAGGCAGCCGAGACCATCATGCCCCACGGCGCATCAAAGTCCATAGCTGTAATAGATTCCATATGTGCGGGCAGTTCCTTGATCTTAGATCCTGATTGCAGATGCTCGTGTAGGACGGGCATGGACATGCGCTTCGAGAGGCGCTTGGCCTTGCCTCTTGTCTTGGGCGACGAGGGTATCTTTTGATATATCGATTCGGACATGAACTCGCCCTTGCCTTCTGACTGCTCGTCACTTGTTTGCGACCCTGCTGTCTTGGGCGCCAGGGCTGCCTCATCGTCCAACTCTTCCTGCAGGTCCTCGATTTGGTTATCCACAGTTAACAGATCCTGCTCCAGCTCCCCCTCTTCGAGTTCGAGCCCCGCCAGACGATCAATGACCATTTTGCGCATCGTGTTCAGGTTGGCAATCTTGTTGTCGATTTCATGAATCTCGGCCACGCACATGTGCTTGCGCACACCCATCATCTCGAGGCGGTGGGCCATTGAGCTCCGCTGCGTCTTGAGCTTGCGCATCGACGGGGGCACATTGGGGTCGTCATCTTCGACACCGGCGCCTATCAGTCGCTGGCCGCGCGCGTTGTGGCGGGCGCCCGAGGAGCGGGGGAGGATGCTGTCGGGCTTGTCTGGCAGCGAGGCCTCGAAGCCCTGGAACAGCGAAAACTCGCTATTATCTTCTGGAATATTTGCGAGCAGATCGTTTGGGATGTAGGCGAGGGCGCGCTGCTGGATCTCGGGGACGGATATGCGCGAGCGCACGAGCTCGCGGGGTGTAGTCTGGGCAAAGGAAAAGACGGAGCGCTGCATCAAGGGCCGTCGCAGCTCACGATGGAGCTCGCCGAGGGCGTTGTGATAGTGCTGGGAGACGCCCTCTGCGCCAATTAGACTTCCAGCCGTCGCCGTGACTTTTTTGCCAAAGGCCTGCAGATGGCGGGTCTAGCGAGCATGTTAGCACGACGCTGTGTGCGGCGGGAGAAATTGCAGTGGGGCTGTCTACATCTGGCAGCGAATCTATGAAGCTCGCTTCTTCGGGGCGCTGCGGGCGGTGCTGGTTGTTCTGTTGGTGTTGCTGGTCATCGTCAAAGAGCTGCGAGTATCTGGGGGAGCGCGGGCTGGTGGAGCGTCCGCGGCCTGGTGATCCATTGCGGGCGGTTGACGAGGCCATCCGAGCGCTGGTGGGTGGAGGGGGCGGGCGAGCAGGCGGGCGGGACGGTGACGAGCAAACGCAGTAGTGCAACGGGCTTGGTTATGTCATCATCCACCGATGGCAGCAGAGAGGCGGGCCGGCAGGGCGGCGGGCGGTCAGGTCGAGGGCGTGTGAGGCGCGATAGTATCTACTGAGGGCATGGATACGAGCGACAGGCCTTGTCCTTGGTGTTGGTCGGCATTCCCGCTGCGTCATCCGCCGAAGCTCAGCGCCGATGGTCGGGTCTTAGTCTGACCTGTATGTCCTGTGTCCAACACACCGCTGGCCACCATGGCTGTCCTCTCTGACATATACCCTCGCGCTGCTCCCGCCGTCTCCCCGCCATGGACGCTGCCATTGACCTCTCCGACGCCTCCAAGGCGCTCGACCTTGCCAACATCCGCTTCCAGCTCATGTACATGTCTCCCGCCCACCGCGCCTGAGTCACCAGCTGACCCTCGACTAGCCGTCTCGAGGATACAATCACCTTTCACCTGATCGAGCGCGTCCAGTTTCCCTTGAATCAGACCATCTACCACCCGGGCGGCGTCGACATTGGCGAGCCCAACACCAGCCTGTTTGACTGGATGCTCCGTGAGCAAGAGCGTCTCCAATCTCTCGTGCGCCGCTACCAGTCCCCCGACGAGTACCCCTTCTTTCCAGAAGTCCTTCAGGAACCCATTCTCAAGCCCATCAACTACCCTCAGATTCTGCATCCCAACGATGTCAATGTAAATGCAAAGCTAAAGGATTGCTACATCAAGCACATTCTGCCCGCTGCCTGTCTGCAGACCGAGCGTGGAGACCGGGGCGAGTCGCAAGAAAACTACGGATCTTCTGCCACCTGCGATGTCTTGACCATCCAGGCTCTGTCGCGGAGGATACACTTTGGAAAGTTTGTTGCCGAGGCAAAGTTCCAGCAAGAGACGGAGCGCTTTGTCAAGCTGATCAAAGACGAAGACCGGAAGGGCATTGACGAGGCTATTACGAATGCTGCCGTTGAGAAAAAGGTGCTCGAGAGACTGAGGTTAAAAGCGAAGACGTACGGCACCGACCCTGACCTCGGCGCCAATGGCTCTTCAAAAGTAAACGCAGATGCTGTGGTTGCCATGTACAAGGTACGTGTGACTCTGAATCTTATTACATACGTGCACTGACACGTAACAATAGGATTGGGTGATTCCCCTGACGAAAGAAGTCGAGGTGGAATATCTCATGCAGCGGTTAAAGGGTACCCAATGGGAATAACTCAAAAGATGGAAACATGCAAAACCGACTTTTGGCCTCCTTTAAAGTTCTAGAAATGAAGACTTAACCTGGAATATATGGTAATTGCCACTGTCACCTCTGAGCAATACAAATTTTGCCGCCCTGCACTCGAATGGCTGATATGTGACACCCTCTTGCCCCACCATCAAGTAAACACATTCAATAATTTCACACACCCCCTTCCCCTATTTTACCAACTGTACCTCAAACTCCATCAACCTATGACCAACAGACATACCAATAACACCTTCACTTCCCTTCAAGGCTCCTGCTCAGTCATAGCCTCTAACCTCGTCCTCACCATCCCCGGATTCGACCTCCCCCTCTCATCCGTCCAACACCTCAACACCTCCTCCCTCATAATGCGCCTCGGCGCCCTCTTCCCCGTAAAAAGCTCAAACTGCGCAAATCCCTGTTCAGGCAAAAGATCCAGGCCGTCTAGACAAATCCACGACGACGACGCGGCGGCCTCGCCCCGCACTTGCCTTGTCAGCGGCGTATTCAACGTGCGATATGCAAGTTCGATTACCACGCCCCCGGATGGCGACTGCATCCAGTGCTTTGGCAGCGTGAAGTCAGGTGATGGCTCGCCGTTGACGGAGTGCGTGGGGATGCAAGATACGATGACGGTTGCAGGGCGGAAGTCGTGCGGCCAGGCTATATCTCTGGAGGACAGGATACGGAATGTAGGCTGTGTATCTTGTACGAAAGAGGGAAACAGCGTTGCCGCCTCGGGGCTCGCTGCCAGCCGTGTAAAGTACATGACCAGCGTTTCAGCATGTGCGATTGTGCGGTTGAAGATGGCGATGTTTTTGATGCCGAGATGCAGCATGGCGTAGATTGCGGCGCGGGCCATGCCGCCTGCGCCGATGACGAGGGCGGAGGTGATGGAGGGTCGCACGGCGTTTGCGGGGGAGAGCCCGCGACGGATGCAGGAGCGGATGCCGATCCAGTCTGTGTTGTCGCCGAAGAGGGCTTTGACGGGGCCGGATTGGTTGCGTTCTTGGAAGAGTTCGAAGCCTTCTGCGTTGGGGATGGTGCCGTCTGCGTTCAGATGGCGGATGGGGAGGATAGTATTGATGGCGCCGATGGCGCGGGCGTGGCGACTAACTGCGTGGGTGAGGGCGAGGGCGTCAACCTTGAAGGGCTGGCTCACTGCTGTGCCACCAAAATCTGGTTGAAGGATTAACTTCTGAATGATGTCGTCTAGGTTCCTGGTTTCTATGCTCTCGAAGTGGTGTGGCATCCCACAGGCTCGGTATGCGGCGTTGTGCATTGCTGGACTTAGACTGTAGGCTGTTGCTGCACCTGTGATGTAGAATTTCATTGGATCGTAGGTGAACGAAGCGTATAAAATGTGCGTAGCTTCCGTTACAGTGAGCCATGATGTTTCCGGATTTTTCTGGGCTCTTTCTTTGAAGTTTTCGCTTTTCCTCAGCTTCTCCGGGATGACTGGTGTGAGGACCTGATTGAAACAAGCAGAGCGGCGTCCTGCCCTGCCAGTGTTATAGCATATCATTGGTATCCTCCGAGACTTTGCGTAAATCGTGTTTCGGAACGACTGGATCGCCGCGTTGTCGTCCATGAAGTTGGCTGGGCGCGTAAAGCGTGCGATACTGCACCCCAGCCGCATTGCCGTGTCGTACTTTTCCAGCCAAAATACATCGTACCAGTCCATTGCAGCGTGTAAATGGCCAATGATCTTTGTGGACCCCCTGGATGCGACAACAGCTTGTATCAGCTCCTCATCCATGGTCAGGTCGACTGTTATGAATTCTGGTGCCATCCGCAAACCATGCCATACGCTAGCAAGATACGCCGCTATCGAGTAGCTCGGATTTTTTGATATAGGCATGACATGGTAGATGATTGGTGTGACGGTACTCCTGCGGACCCGAGATATGCTTTTACTAATGTCCTCGGCGTAGTCTGCACTAAGTTGCTTGGGTTCCACTACGATTTCGAATGCGTCACAGCCGAATTCTAGTTCCTCAATGTCGACACCGTCAGAGGTGAGGTCTGAGAGTTGTACTTGGACAGCACATGTGTAGTTTCTTAGCTCCAAATCGATGTATGATAAGGGGAAGTAGCCGGGATCTAATGTTGGGGTATCGCTTTTTGTGCTCCCAGGCGTACCCCTGGGCGATAGGATGCGAGCCAAAAACTTGAAGAAAGTCCTTTCTGCTCTTTTCAGTGTTAGAAAAGCTGGCACAGAGCGTTGTTGGGCAGGAGCGACGGAAAGATGCGAAGCATTCGTTTCAGAGATGTTGTAGAATTCATAGTTTGAGCACCGTCGGAACACGGGCGTGCTGATAGCGACTAGTTCTTGAACTCTGGCCTCATCGGTTTCCAAATATTCACGTATGCTGCGGGTATCCCGTGTGATGTGGATGACGGGGTGTGATGCTGAGAATTCGCGTAATAGAGACTGGGTGTTGTTGTCCAACGGAAAGCTTCCATTACAAACAATGATGGCGCCTTTGCTGTGACTGTGAAGCACATCGCGGAGTATCTCTTCCTGGCGAAGACTACGATTTGAAGATCCGTATTGTTTCCGGTATGCGGTGGTTGAAAAGCCGGTGGCAGAATGAAAGACGCTTTCCATGTCGATAACTCTTTTTTGACAGATTACAGATGCCATCATAGCCAACGTCGCTTTTCCTGTTCCATGCATTCCAATGAGAACAATTGATGCCCTCGAGTCAAAGACACGCCGAAACTCATGCTGAGGAGGTGATGGTGTAGACCTTGCCGAATTAGGTAGACTTCGCTGTTTCGACGCCGGTGGAGACGGCGTTGGGAGCGAACCACGCCCATCTCTTGATCGGCTTTCTGTATTCATTGTCGCAAATGAGCGTTTGGTGCCGACCTTCACAGAAGCCATAGCCCTCAATCTTGCCGATGTGTTCCTGGTCGCGAAGCATGAATGACTTCCAGTATCGCATCGACTTGGAATCGCTTGTCGTCCTGGCGAGTCACGTGGCATCGGCTCTCCCCGCTTTTCCCGGGATAAATCTTTATCCTACTACGGGAACCCTTCCCCAGCTTTCTCCACTCGCCATCATTCGGTAATTTACATGGATTTCTTCGGCCCAGGCAAACATGCCTGCTTACCCGGGCCTAGATTGATTGTCAGATTCCTCTGCTAGCGAAGATTTGGGGTTATGCTGCAACACCTACCTAATTGATCTTTCCGCCATCAAAAAGCAAAACGCAGTTAATGTCTTCGCAAAGCCAAGATAAGCGCCGCTTAATCTCACAAGATGTTCCCGTAAAACGATTCCGAGTATCCAGAGCTTGTGATCAATGCAGGACTGCCAGAGAGAAATGCGACGGCAACCAACCCACTTGTTCGCCATGTGTAGACAACAAACGGGACTGCACGTACACTTCAAACCCAAAGAAACGAGGATTACAACCTGGATATATACGCGGCCTTGAAACGACATTAGCATATGTCTTTCAGCAAAATCCCGAGATCGAGACGACGGTGTATAACCAATTATTCCAGGAGAATACGGTTTTGCTTGCACGGGGCACTAAGGAGTCAAATCGATTATACAAAAGCTGGGCCAAGAGCAGATTCTGTCAGGATTTTACTAAGGCCTTAGCTGGCGAACAAATAGAAACGAGAGAGGAAAAGCAAGCAAGCCCCAATGATGACAGCGACGTGGATGTAGAAGATGCAACCTTTAATCAGACAACGCCTGGAGCTCAATCACACCAATCGGTAAGATGCTAGAAAATGCGTATCAAAATGTATACTAACGTGGATAGTTTCCATCGGTCAGTGCCCCAAGTCATGTACCGGAACAGACACCCAGACCCTCATTGTCGGACCTTCTCTTTCCTAATGTACAGCAATCTGTGATCCCCTCGGCACAAGTGCCACTACCTGCAGACTCATGGAAATTATTGGAGACTTATTGCACATATACGCAATGTTGGCTGCCGATTGCGGATAAGCTAGAGATACTCAAGTTGTCCTATTCTTATCCTGAACATGGACTAGAGTTATCTTGCGACATGACAAATTCCGGAAGTCATGCCGAGATGTGGAGTATATTTGCAGTAGGGTCTCTTCAGATTGACTCCAGGAATACGAACGTCGATCTACGAGATGCACAGCCTGAGAAGTTCTATGATGTCGCTAGGCTTCTCATCCCCACTGAATTGGGACAGCTTGGTCTTGATCATGTTAAGGCTTTACTAAATCTTGCCGTCTTTAACATCAGTAAAAAAATGTTCAGTGCTGCCTGGCGTCTTGTCGGTACTGCTTTGCGAATATTTCTGACCACCACAAACCCTCCGGATATGAATAAGACCCAACGAAAACACATCCTGTCCAGTTGTTTCGTCCTTGACACTCTGCTTTCTTCACAGTTGAAATTACGTCCTTATCTGGATAAAGCTGATCTAGATTGGATGGGGAAGATAGAAGAGGACGGAATGGAAGAATGGCAACCTTGGAACGGGCAGCTGAGAGTGCCATCAGCTCACCAGCCGCCGTCACCGACCTTATCATTGAGTACATTCAATGCTCTCCTGGAATTGGTAGACATATTTGGGAGCACTACACGTCCTCAAAATGCCCCAAACTTCCTCCACGAGATGATTAGCCGCCTTGAGGCATGGAAGTCTTCGCTGCCACAGAAACTCGACTATATTCGGAAAGACTCTACTCCCATGACGCCACCTGCATTGTTGCTTCGATTCACCTACTGCGTAACTGCACTGGCATTTGTTCCTTCTCATAACTGGTTTCAGCAAACACTAGATGTGCTCAGCACAATGAATGCCCAACTCGGAGCTGCGAGAATACCTGCCATTGTCTTTTGTCTTCTTCAGAGTATTAAAAAGAGCGGTTCAACTCTGGTCTTTGATCAGACAACACACACGAAGATGCGTGAGTTATTCACCAGCCTTGATCAGTCATTAGGTCGACCAGAAGAAGCATCCACAGGCACTCGAGAAGCAACAGGCTCACACGAAAGTATACCCCAAGATGTCTCAGGGCTAATGCAAGCATCTCCTTCGTTCCCCATACCGAATATGGGTGAGCCTTTCATCGAGGGATATCAGCGAACATCTGGCTCTTCAGCGCATGTAGATGGCCTTCTGCCTGCAATGAACAACACACAAGAAGGCGACAATCAACACCCATTCAACCCGTTTGACTTCACCATGAATATCTTGATGCCGGAATCTCACGATCCGTACAACGCTCTGATTTCGGGAGATTTGGGGAACTTCCTCGACGACTTTGCTTCTGAGCATGGAGCAAAGAAGCTACAGAACCAGCCTCAATTTATGGAAAATCTAGGGTTCTCTGCAGAGATAAGCATGGCCGATCTACTGGCAACAGACCCTACTCGATTCTTGACTACGGGTCCGCAACCAGCGCAGGATGAAAACCAGAATTCCACGCAACTTCCATTTAACACGCTGTACGAAACCCGTTGAGATATCTGAACCTCAAGATTTTTGAAAAAAAATATTGGCTTGCTACTAGAAATGGTTTAATATATACGGTTGCGAAGAAAAACAGTCTGTATGGAGACTGGCTGTTTACATACTACGCTATCAATATTGGTATCACAGGAACAAACGAAAGCAATCAGCTCATGCGCTAAAGGCGTGCAACTTCAATCTCCTGGATGACCTTTTTGGTTTCCTGCCCCTTCTTACCATGCACATTTTCCAACTTCTGTGAACCAGACGAAACGCCCCCAATGAACCCCAAATCCTGTTGCAATTTCCTCCAAGATTCTGCAGCACGCTCTGCCAGTTCCTCAACTACCGCATGATCTGTGCTGTTCATGATTCGGTTGAAGAGCTCCATACTGACCCATCCATCATAACCGACCTCTTTGATGATGGCATGTACAACGTCTCGTACCGGCAAATACGCTCCACGTGAGGTCTCACCGTAGAATAACCTGCAATTCCTGCTCCATGACATGCGAGCCGGCTGTTCTACATTGTAGAATTCATGGCCACGTACCAGGGGTTGCGCGAGCCGTTCTGCATCGACAACCTGGACAAAGAAAATCTTTTCCTTATGTGGCTTGATTCGTTCAACAAGCCGTTGCATCGACTCGCGAACCTCTTTTTCTGCGTCGGGGGTTTTCCTCGTTTCTGAAGTGGGATCGGCGTATATTCTCGCGAGGATGTTGAAGCTGTCGAGGCAGATGCCAAAGTTGGATCGATCAACCCGCGTTACAACGTCCCAGCATTCTTCCCACTTGTTCACACGCGTACCCCAACCCAAGCTTTCATACGCAAACCGCATCACTGGCGATTCTTGAAGTCCGAGATCTGCAACTTCCCTGAGATCGCTGATGATAACCTCCGTGTCTGAGGTCACTTGATCCTCCGGAAGGAATGATGATGGAATTTGAATGATATCCGTTTGGAGCACCTGGGCCAGCTTTATCCACAGCTTCATCTCTTGAATCCTCTGTTCGTGTCGTTTTCTGTCCACCAGACCCTCATAGTGCATAAATGGTTGTAGGCAAATGATCTCAAGGCCGAGAGAGGAGCAGAGATCCCGAACAGAAGCAGCGCCTGCGAGAAGAGCAGAAGGCGAGTCGGAGCCAGCGTGATCAACCAAGTCTTCAAAAAAGAGCTCGATACCTTCAATTCCATGCTTTGCGGCCATGGAGAGTTTGTGCTCGAGGCTGTGGCCAGCATAGGACCGGCCTAGCGACATGGACGAAATCCCAAGACGATACGGCATTTTTTTGCAATGTTGAATATGTAACAATGTAACTTAGAATTGTAAAAAAAAATCAGATGGTTCAAGATAATGCAACGGAAGTTATTCCAATAACCAGTTAAAATCAAAACAAGCAATCAACCCCCCCTCTACTAATAAACCAAACGCCCAAGTCCCCAAACCGCCTTTCCCCCCACATCTCACCACCTGATCAACAACACAACCCCCCGTCTCCTTCTAGAACCGTAACCCACGCACGTTGAATTCTTTTGCCCCCCTCCCTCATTCCTACAGAGCAATAATTCTTTATCCCCAGCGTTAGCACCCAACCAAACCGACTTCTCGGCATCATCCTAGTAGCCCCTGCCCCTAGACTGCGCGCTGACGCCATGCGACGTCCGCGAATCAATGCACCGATATCCAATCCACCGATGATCAATACCCCGATGGTATCCGCTTATCTCGGGGGTAAAAGATACTGTGCTAGCCTTTTGCAGCCGGGGAATGCCATTGCCCGTTCTTGCTGCGTCTCTGCTGCGTACTACTGCGTAATGCAAGCGAGCGGTATGCGTGCTGCGTGTCGTTTTTACAGGGTCCAATGCAGAGTATGGAGAGCAAAGGTGGTGACGTAAATGGGGGGAGCTAACAAGGGCGGAAAAGAATTTTTACCCGGGTGAGTTGCCAGGTTGTGATGGGGCGTCGTTTGCTTCGGGGCCCGTTCTGGGGAGTGGACTTGGGGGTTATGCAGGGCGGTCTGAGGATGGGGGGACTTGGCGTGCAGGTGGATTTTTATGGGGAGAGCATGGAAGGAGAGCCGATAGTGTGGGTGTGGGTGTGGGTGTGTGCGTCGATGAGACGTAGCTGGGATGGTGACGTGTGGTAGAGAAGGACTTGGAGGTCTTTTTCTCGGTAGATTTTTGGGTTCATGTAATTATGAGTTGATTCATGATATTTTCATTAGACTATTTCGTTTCATACAACACGATACAGTGCGCCGACTGTCTTAAATCCTTTTATATCTAAAAGACTTTCTAAGCCATTGTGATATGCTCATCTGCCATCGCCTTTTCGTCTCTACGTGCCATAGTGTCGTTCTCGTGTTCGGCCAATAAATCGACCATGATGCCATGTGCTTTGTGTGTAGGCTTGATTTCGAAAAGCTCGTCCATGCGCTCGAGCGGGATACCCTTTGTCTCTGGAATCAGGAAATAGCTGAGACTCGTTAGTTCATGCTTATGGTGAGAATCAAGGTGGGGCAACACTTACACAAAAGGAATAGAGAGCAACATGAGGCAAGCAAAGAACATGTAGACACCATATTCCATGGTGGAAAACATCTGAGGAGTGAATCTCGAGATGATAAAATTCCAGAACCAGTTGTTTGCCGCAGCGAATGCTTGGCCTAGAGATCGGGTTTGCTGGCTGTACATTTCAGAGTTGATAACCCAGGGGGTACCGTTCCAAGAAGGCGTGTAGAAAGTAGTCCATAGATAGAAGAAGAAGATAGCGCTGATTCCTCCCGGTGAAAGGTCGCTGGATGGGTTGCTTTCGGGTTGAGCAATCTTGATGTAGGCAGCAATGTACCACATGCATAGAGAGCCGCCAAATGCGCCGATCATGAGAAGTTTTGTACGACCAAGATAGTCAATGAGCCAGATGAGCCAGACGAATGTCATAACTGTCTTGACGACTCCGAAAATACCAGTGGTAAGGAAACCCTGGGTAACGCCTAGACTCTTGAATACGGTCGGAGAGTAGTAGTTGATTGCGTTGATGCCGGATCCGTTTTGCCAGAGGAAAAGCATGCCACCGAGGAAGATACGCCACATGACCTTACGTTGTTTGAGTGCCAGGAATGGCTTCCAGAAACCTGGGCCAACAGTGGCTCTCTCGTGTTCCAGTTGATGATCAATAGCCTCGAGCTCTTCGACGATGTACGTATGGTCCTCTGGTAGTTGGCGAAGCCAGCAAAGATCCTTGATGGCTTTTTCGCGCTTTCCCTTTGCCAAATACCATCGTGGTGATTCTGGCATCCAGAGAGCACCGAGGAGCAGGCATCCTGCGGGAATGAGCTGTACAGCAAACGGAATGAGCCATTGTCGGTGTGAAGGTGCCATGGTCTCCTGAAGACCGTAGTTGATCCAGAAACCAACCAGTCCACCGATTTGCCAGCCGAGCTCATAAATACCGACTAGTCGTCCACGTACAGCGGGTGGTGATAGCTCAGAGATGTAAATGGGAACCATGTTGCTGCAACCGCCAACACCAAGTCCGGCGAGAACGCGGCCACCGATAATCAGACCGAGACCCCTTTCGCGATTGGCACCAAGCATCATACCAGCGCCTAGCATGAACTGAATAGGACGCCTTGTCAGTTTGCTTCTCCAAAACAATCTCGCCTGGGGTATCAACTCACAATCAGAACCCAGAGAATTAGAGACCTCTTCCTGCCGACGTAGTAACTCGACACGTATGCGCCAAAAGCACCAAAGAAAGCACCGGCTTGGTACACGGAGACGATGTTGGCTTTGGTAGTGTTGAGATGTGATGCAGTCATCTCCTTGAAGCGGAACTCTTCGACGAACGAAGGAAGTGCCAGTGTGGTACCGATGAAAGCTGAATCATATCCGATCATGCAAGCCGCCCATGATGCGACACTTGCGGCGGTATAGACTCGCCAGTTGTAAACGGCCTTTGGCGTCGGCCTGTCCTCGACAAGCGCGAGAATGCCCATGATGAAGGTACTATCTGACTTGGCTTCCGAAACCCAGACGGTGTTGATGAGAGGGGGGATGAGGTTGCAGGCCAGGCCAGGGAAGCAGCTGCCGGCAAGGCGATGGGAAAAAAGAGATGGCTTTGATAAAGTAGAGATCGTCCTGCATCTATACTATATACTCCTGGCTAAGGAAAACGTGCTCTTTTGCGGAGTAAAATGTGGAGAAGGCGTCGGACTCCGCATGGAGTGTGAGCTGTAAGGATGTCAAAGTGAATTTGACGTTAGTTGATTGGCCGTGGTGCCGGTTCGCCGGGAATGTGATGGTAAGATCCTGCCCCGGATGAATCTTCGAACTCTCTTCCAGCAGATCCAAGATTCGAGCGATTGCGGGGAAGTGCATTTGCAGGTCTGCGCGTCGGATCGCGTCCCAAGACTGCAACTTGCGCGCCTTTGGTGCCGAATGCGGAAATGCTGGTATTATCCAGGCGGTTGGGAGAGATGCAGAGCGCGGAATTGCATTTATACGCGAGGTTTAGCGGCCGTTGTCGCTCTGTTCATTGGACACTACGCGCAGACGCCAGCAGAACTTCGGTCCGTAGTTTGCACCTGGACAACATGCACGCGCCTTTCTCCACATACAGCGTGTCTTTTTCCGGGGCTCAAGCGCTCCAGTTCTGGCTTGTCGGACTAGGCATCGGACATGATGATACGAGTTGGGAGGCCTTTGGTGGAGAAGGTGTACGCAGTATCTATCTTGAGAGCAGCACCTTGAGCACACTTGATAATCTACCTACACCCCACTTTAATAATACGACAATTCAACTTCAACTTTCAGAAACTGATACCCTGCCATTACCGTAAACCAGCACCAAGTCTTCACCACTGAATCCCATAATTTTACTCGTCAACAATGTCAACAGAATCAACAGAAACCAGAATACCAGACGTATCCCAAACAGAACGTCATGGCTACCTCTTCGGCTACCCAATTGCACACTCAATGTCACCTCTGCTACACCAGACTGTATACGATGGGCTAGGGTTAAACTGGTCACAATACCCTCTAGAATCAAAAGACATGTCACTCTTCCTTCAATTGATCAAACATCCACAATTCTACGGTAAGAAGCCAACCCAATAATACCATTTAAAAGAATCCCAAATCCTAACCTCCTCCAACAGGCGCCTCCGTAACCATGCCCCACAAAGTCGCTATCCTCCCCTATCTCGACGGCCTGACAGAAGAAGGCCGTGATGTCGGCGCCGTAAACACTCTTTTCATCCAAGAAGACCCATCGACAGGAAAACGGCTCTACATGGGCACAAACACAGACGTCATCGGCATCCGTGACGCATTCGCCTACAACGTCGACGCCTCAAAGTACGAAAACAGACCTGCTCTCGTCATTGGTGGCGGCGGCGCAGCACGAAGTGCCGTTTACGCCCTTCGCAAATGGATGAAAGCCAGTGCGATATATCTCGTAAGTTTTCCTATATCCTTACCTCCCCATAGATAGTAACTCAGTTGGCAAAACAAACAAACATTCTGCTGGAAGTTATGCTAATGCGAATTCGAAAAAAAAAATAGGTAAACAGAGACGCCTCCGAAGTCTCAGCCGTAATCTCCGAATGCAACGCCCGCGGCTACGGCTCTTCCCTCATCCACGTCTCCACCCTCGCCCAAGCTCAATCCCTCGCCGGCGTCGGCGCAATCGTATCCTGCGTCCCCAACTTCTCGCCCGCAACACCACAAGAACACAAAGCCCGCGACATCCTCAACTGCTTCTTGCAAAAAGAGCACAAAGGCGCGCTGCTCGAGATGTGCTATCACCCTACTACATGGACCGAGATTGCAGAGATAGGGAAGAACGAGGGGTGGCAGATCGTCTTAGGGACCGAGGCGCTGATTTATCAGGGGTTGGAGCAGGATCGGTATTGGACGGCGAGGGAGGTGAGGGAGTTGCCGGTGGAGAAGGTGCAGGAGGCTATTGCGAGGAAGTTAAGTGAGGCGAGGTTGTAAAATGTACATACTATATGACTTGAACGAGACCAAAAAAAAGCGGAATAAAAATGAAGACCGATATATATAATTCTATACAATTGTCTTGATTTCTTGAGAAAAAAAATGGGTCTATGCTCCTGGACGCGAATAGTCTAAATGTCGTACCCTCCTCCATACTTCGCGTACCGTTCTTTCTTGACTCTGACGTCCTGTCTCCGTCGCAGACGGTCCTGCCGGCCTGCATATTTCCTCGTCAGCATACCTCCCCACTCCAATTCAGAAGAACAAAGTCACAAAAAAACAGAAAGAAAAAAAACTCACCGAATAGCCAAATACAACCGACTCCCCAACGCCACCTCCTCAATCGGCGCATTTGCCCAATCCTCAGGCGGATTCGCCGTAGTGACCAACCCCCCGGCCTCCTGTAAAATGGCAATTCCAGCCGCAACATCCCACTCCCAACAGCCCCCCTCCCACCAAATATCCGCGCCACCCATAGCCACATATGCCAAATCCAGCGTCGCACTCCCCAGACTCCTGACTCCATGTACCATCCCCCCTTTCCCCCCTCTGCCCCCAATCTCCGCCGCCATGTTGAGAAAGCTTTCAACCTTGCGATGCATATTTCCGTCGGGAGTATCACGTCTATCCTTGCCCCACTCACATGCGAAGACGCAGCCTGCGGGCGCATTGGCGGGCATGGGCGGTATGCTGGGTTTCTGGATGAGCGGGAGGCGCTGGGTTTCGTTTAGGAAGGCGCCGCGACCCGCGCACGAGGTGAAGAGTTGGTTGGTAAACGGGGCGCAGATGACGCCGATGAGCGGCTTGTGGTTGTGGATGAAGCCGATGCTCGTGCAGAAGGTGGGGAAGAGGTGGATGTAGTTTACGGTTCCGTCAAGAGGGTCGACACACCATGTTGGCGAGGCGTCGATTAGGTAGTCGCGCGAGGCGTTTTTGGAGTAGGTTTCTTCGCCGATGAATCTGGGGATTGTTAGGTGGACTGTGGAGAGAGAAGGGGTGGGAGGGGGGGAAGAAGGGGGTGGGAATGTACTTGTGTGAGGGATATTTTTCTTGGATTTTTGTCTTGATGAAGGCTTCGACATTTTCGTCGGTTTCGGTTACTAAGTCTACTGCATTCTCTTTTTGTACGTGTTGTTTTTCTTCTGTTGTTGCGTTCTCGCTGTTCATTCTTGCTTGGGCCGCGTCCATAAGCATCTTTCCCGCCTTCTTCCCCAGGTCCACCGCGAACGCATAAATCTCGTCTAGCTCTTCTCTTGAGAGCTCAGCCATGGTAATTGTGCGTTTGTGTATGTGTAAGAGCTACTCTCAGGAGACGAAAGGGTATTGTGCTGCGGTGGTCCGCATACATTGGAACCCATTGCGCCGCTAGTTTCCTACCGTCGGAAGCCGTACCGGCTAACCACGGTGGAAAGGCCCACAGATACTATGCATTGGAGGGTCATGTGTCCTGGTTTGGGGGTTGGGGAAGGAAGGCCGATCGTAGGCATATGGGTAAGTCCTTTTCCGATTCCGACATCGATCCAAGCCTCGGAATGAGCGTTGTGGAGACCAACACCAACATGCTCCGCGCACGCGTCTTCAACAACTCTTCTACTTGACAGTACTCCAAACACTTGAGTGTGACACCCAAAAAAAACCTCAGCAAATATGTCAAAGACAAAATCCATCCTCCTAATCAACGGCCCAAATCTCAATCTTCTCGGCACGCGCGAACCCGCAATCTATGGATCCACCACCCTCTCAGACGTAATCTCCTCCGCCACAGAACAATGTGCCAAGCTCTCTATACAATTCTCACATTCTCAATCAAATCATGAAGGCGTGTTAGTAGACCGTATACATGAAGCGCGTGCAAATGTCGACTTTATCGTGATCAACCCTGGAGCTTTCACGCACACGAGCGTGGCACTGCGGGATGCTTTGAGCGGTGTGGATATACCATTTGTCGAGGTTCATATCAGCAACATTCACAAAAGAGAAGCCTTCAGACATCATAGTTACCTGAGTGATAAGGCTGAGGCGGTGATCTGTGGACTCGGTGTATTTGGATACGAGGCAGCTATTGAGTATGCTGCCAGGTTCCTCGAGAAAAAGGAGGAAGACGATGAAAAATCAAGGCTTTAGCAATTTGGTTGAGTAGCCTTTGTGTACGATCAATGAAATGGCTCCTATACCAATCGGAGACGGCTCTTGACATGATGTCAGACGTTCGTACTCCTGAACCCCTCGCTGATATCTTGTCTTGCTTCCAAGTATGTTTGCAGTGCTGCAATAGCCGGTAACAGAAGCAGTCACACTCAATGTCTGCCCGAAGCCCCATGTGTTTTCTTCATTGTCGTGTAAACCGCAAAACCTTGCAGGATCCTCAGGAGCAGCAAACTTTTGAGTCAAGACTAGGGTTACGGAAAGGATTGCCAACAGTATCTGGACTACAAACGCAGTGGCTGGGTTGAGAAAGATGTAATACATGAGCTGTATGCCGAATCGAGCTGGAAAGAGTGTTCGGAACACGAATCTCTTCGTGTACAGCTCTCTATCTGTAACGCGACGTACGAGAGCTTGGAAAGAGCTTTCTGAGGAAGAAATTGGTGACTCGACTTCGAGGCCTTCTGGGTTGTACAGAATACACACTAGTGCTGTCGATAAGTCGATGATTATGAGAAAAAAAGGTACGAGTAACGATAAACGCTGAACCCGGGTCTTGATTACCTTCACGCCATGGCTAGTCACAACCATTGTTGGTGATAGGGCAATGGCGGCCATCATGGAGGTCATAAGAAATATTGCGAAGCAGATGACGAGTATGAGCCGGATCTTTGCAATAAGTCTGTACCTTTGGAAGTACTTGCGTAATGTTATGAGGGCAGCGAGGTAAGAGGATGACGACAGAGCGCAGATGTATAGGATTAGAACAAAATGGGCGCCTTGGACTTTGAAAGCCTTCTCAGATACCTAGTATACTTCCATTAGTATAGAAATTCTAAAGGGTAGTACGAAAGTACCTTTATCCATCCGCTGAGCAATACGATGAGCTGCTGATCACCCAGGCCTATGATTAGCGGGTCCAAGAAAGGACGCCATGCGTAATACTTCTTCCATTCGTGTTCTAAGAAACGTTCGCGAATAAATCTTAGTGGTGCGCGGAGAGTAAATTGGCCCTTGGTATCGAAAGCTTGATCGAGAAGCATAGCAAGAATCGAGGCAAACGTGGTCATGAAGCTCGCAGTGACAAAGGAAATGACAACCTACAAAATTTTCTGTAAGCTGGGGCACAGGTAGTAGGCATATCCACTTACACTAATGCCGGCAATGTCAGGATCAGCTCCGTTTCCACAATCTCCACCAAAGGACTCAATGGTATCGAAAGTGACCCAGGGTGGTGCCATAATATGTGACTGAGAGACAAGATGCTGGGAATGAACTGGTGGAACTGAAAAGGGTAACTGGTTGTGATCCAGAGCTCGAATATAGCTCTGGAAGGTGCATTATGTGTGCGTTCGAGAGGGATTTGGGGGAATTAAGATGAGAGAGGCGAGGGGCTCATAGGAAAAGAGACAGGTAGCAGGTCTGTGGGTGGGAGGGAGATGGCGCGAGTGAGGATGTTTGAGTGACTCGCAAGCAAGGAGGGTGAGAAAGTAGTCGACCACTCGGTGTATCACATGGCAAGAGCAGCGGAGGCAGTAGCCACCAAACGCAGAGGCTACCTAGCCATAGTTATACCAACAGACATTCAAGAATTAATCATAGAACATATATTGTTCGGGGATATCCAAGCGGACTTTTCGGGTATCAAACACAACTCTAGTATACATCTTTACTTCTGCTTGCTTTTCGCCTTGACCCGAGCAGCTAGTTTCTTGATGTCCTCCTGTTCATCCGCCGTATCTTGCTTTGACTTTTTACTACCCCGTTCCGCTTCTGTCTCGTCTTCATCTTTTCCTTGCTTTCGTTTCTTTCGGCCTTCTTCTAGCAGTGCCTTCATACCTGCAGTCTCCTTGAACCGAGGATTCGTGGGATCGATAGCAAACTCATGACTCTCGTACAACTTCGCGAAACGTGGGTCAGTGGTGTTGATTTTGAAGTTGTCTTCCACCACTTGGGCATTCTTTTTGACCTTCTTTCCCTTCTTCTTAGCCTTCTCCGATTTGACAATTTCGTTCATGTCAAAGTGGCGCATCTTGGAATCGTCCTCATCGGCCATGAGCAGCTCCAGATTCGCACGTTCTACTGCAGCTGCCTGGTCTTGAAGCTCCTGCTCTGCCTTCTTGGCCTTCTTGGCTTTCTTAGCCTCCTGCTTTGAGGCCTTAGCAGCTTCTTCGGGATCAGAGGCAAAGAATGGATCGTTGAATGGATCATCCTCATTCGCATCCGCTGGCTTGGTGGCCTCCTGCTCAGCAGGAGCGTCAGGATCTCTGCCAGCTTTCCTAGCAGCCCACCTCTCCTTGCGCTTCGCTTTCCTCTCCCTCTCCTTCCGTATGTACTTCTCCATTGTCGTCTCTTGCACAGGAATATCGTTCTCAAATACACCACCACTACCGCTCTCCTTAGACAAGCCTCCAGTAAAAGTGATTTGCATCTCACTGTCCGGCTTTGGAAAGTCGCGATCATTCTTTGCGGAAGCCTTCTTCTTCGATTTGGAGGTCTTGCCAGGTGCCTCAAGACCTAACGCTGCTCTGAGACTCGCTGCCTTGTCTGCCTTTGCAGCCTCCTCTTCGTCTTCAGAGGATGAGGAATCCGTGCCCAAATACGCTTGCAGTTCATTTTCGTCGATTTCCTTGCGCGAGAAAGCGCGCTTCTGTACTTCCTTCCTCGTGGCGTCGTCAGCATCCCAGGTCAGCTTAACCTTTGAGTGAGTAAGCGCGTCCGTTGAGAACTCATTCGGCTTGTAGCCATCGGGTAGCTTGGAGCATTCATCGTGGGGATCTTGGTCGAAAGTGGTACCATCGGGAACGAATCGTAGGTCGAAGAAGTTTGCGCTTGTCAAGTACTCCCTGCCATCGAGATTATCGTAGATGGACTTTGCAACGTTGGCAGAAGAGCATGTGATGATAGCGTAGTAGTATCGTAGTCGGTCGAGTTGGTAAGCCCTCAGCTTGGTCGAATCGAACTCTTCCCCAGTTTCTTCTTCTTGCAAGACAGCCTTTGACCGGCCCTCTTCGTCCGTACCCGAGGCATCAGAATCATTGTCAGACATGCCGATATTGTCCTTGTCCTTGTTCGCGGTCGAGGCGAAAATCTCCCGGGGCGGACCTTCGATTTCCTCTCGTTGCAGACGCTCCATACCAAACTCGCTGGGATATATGACGACGTTAAGGATTCTTCCGTCAGCTGCAACGAAAGAATTTGCGACAGCCATGATATCGATGGCACGGATGTTGTCCCAATCCATGTTGACTGCAGCCAGACGTGCCGAGATGTCACCAGTCGGAACCTCATTGCCCTCGCCAGCGAGCTCAGCCTGTTCGTAGATGTCTGCTTCTTCCTCTTCGTCGCTAGAACTTTCGTCGGACGACGATTCAAGCCCACCGTCTCGAATTGGGTCAAAGCCTTGCTGCTCAACCCGCTTCATTTCCTTCAGAACAGCCTGGTCCCGCTTCTTGCCGGCAGGGCGCTCGGGTTCATCGTCGTCGTCGTCGTCGCCATCGCTATCTATTTCATACAACCTCTCGACAACCTTCTTGCCCGCGTCTTCTGATATCTTGCGACCATACTTGTCGACCTTGGCCTTGTTGTAAAAGTCCGGGTCGCTCTTTATGCGCGCGAATCGGGGATCAAGCTTGGTCTTGGTGTGCTTCTTGGAGGGCAGTCGAAACTTGGGGTCGGTCTGGAAATTTGCGAATCGCGAGTCACCTGTGAATTGTAAGTGGGCTATCAAGTATTGTGCAAAACGACGTCGCATGGCTTACTGGCAGGCACACTAGCCTTTTCAGACCTTTCGGCCTTTTCAGCCTTCTTTGGCAATGTCTGTCGCTTGGGGAGGGGCATTGTGCAGTTCTTGTGTGTGATTGCAGTCGGTAAATGTGAATGCGACGCGCATCTGGGAGCTGCCGAACTTTTTCTGCCGAGCGGTAATGTGTCGGCTGCAATGAGCACTTATTGGATACCATCTCGGTGATCCAAGCGTAGCCGGGGTCCAGATGCCGATCTGGGGAAGCTGCGTCACTATCATACAGGTTAAACTAAGAGGGGAAATGCATCACACGACGGAACCGCTTGGAACCGACAGCTCCTCAACCATTTTCCTCCTTGAAGCCAGCCTTCATCCTTTTCTCTCATCCAGTATACCAACACTAGCTGAACAGTCACTCGAAACATCACCATGACTTATTCCAGGCTTCTCACGTAAGTCACTCAATTGGGCCATCCAGCTCAGCTCCCTTTCCCACCGACTTTATAGCTGACACCGCCACTCTTTCAGACCCCGCAGCATGGCAGTGCTGTCTATCATCTCCCTGGGAGGCGGCTACTTCACTCTCAAGTCACGTACTCTTGCAGACAAACAGACGGTTCGCAGCAATGGTGACTTTGCGGTCTCCGTTGATCGATCCGGTAGGTCGCGTCACGCGCTGATAAACGCCCTCCAGTGCTGACTGCGGGACACAGGTGGTGGTATTTGAGCACAGAATACAGTTTGTTACATCTCAATAGCAGAGGCCCTGCTGTCTGGCGTTTCTTTTTCGGTGGCGTACCCAATCTCGGCTTATTTCGTTCTCTTATCAAAATTATGCCTGCAGCATCGTATATCCTCCCGACGCATGCACGCGACTCGAATAGCGATATCGTGTAGCAAGAAATTCGATATTGTTAATAAAGCACTACACTGAAGCTATCACTTGCTGAGAGGCCTATGCCTGATGTCACGTGAGCATCTACTAGTCCGACAAAAGGTCTCGTAACCATCTACTGCGCACAGGGCGAAACACCTTTTTATAGCAGCGAGAACACATGCCTTCCACGTTGCCCGTTATAGGCTGGGTTCCGTCTCAGACTCCCTATACGAGCAGTGCGGATCCGTTGGGTAGCCACAATTGGCCGACCCACCCGTTGCTAAATATAAACCACTCAGCCTCGATGACGAGAACCCACGAAAATCACAACAGCAAGTAGTCAACAACCTTGTGACTTGTTGCTCCAAATGCGAAACAACTTGCACGTTCCTCATGAGACCGGATCCCATCAAGCCGCCCGGGTGGCTTTCAGCTGTGCAGCTCCGCCTTTTACGGCTACGCTGTTACCGTTCAACTGACATGCCCCGGCGTATAGCAAGGGTGCGTCATCAGCACTGTGGATATAACCTTTTGCAAGAACGGATAGGAGGGCCCCGCTCGGCCATACCCTTCGCGCATGCTTACGAGAGCTCATCCACCTGCGCGCCCGGGTAGCGGGATTGTCATGGTTTAAGCACAGCTCTGCCACGCAAACAACACATCATCCCACGTTGCTATCCCACTCGTGCTTGGTGGACCCATATTCTTAACCGTCAACTCTTGCCACCTCGCCTTGTTCGTTCAAATAGCTCGGATCCATGGTTATCTAGTCACTAGCGCCGTGCACCCAATTTCACTATGCGTATCATGACCAGCATCGCAGGGCACTCTACCATAGAAAACTCTTCTCGCAGCAAACCTCAACAAGGAGGAAACAAGATGCCACCTCATACGAACGTCGTAGCAGCGGCGAGCCATGTCCGTCAAATCTTTGAGACTAAGAAGCTCGCCTACAGTATCATGGGAGCATTCGAGATGTTATGTCTAGGGAGCGGGCGCCCAGTATCCGACCTATACTTTGCATATGAACACAAAGATTCCAGTCGTATCAAGAAAAAGCTCGAGGCAGATCGACGGTATGTTCGAGCAAACTACTTTGCAACATATCCACTGACGATAACAGCATTGTATTGACCGATGGCATGAACCCGTTGACCCCATCGAAGATATTGGTGCAAACAGGGCCTGCATACCATGATATAGGATGTACAAGCTCTGCAGCGGTCGAAGTATACTTGCTGCCATCAGGTGAGTTTAATTATTAGCCAAACGCAACTTCGAACTAACCATTTTTAAGGTTTATACGGAACACCTCCAAGCGGCACTCTCAAAGACAACATAGTCCTGTTGGGCAACAACACTGCAGGCATGCTGAGGACTTTCAAAGGTCTCAACATGTTGTACCTGGTCAAGTCACTCATTGAGTTCTGCAAACTGCGCGACCTGAGCTGGAACCCTATGGAGAACCTGCTGCTTCTGTGCGAGCGCTACGGAGGCCAGGTTCAATCTGTTCGGAACCAGTTGGACCAGAAAGCGGCATACCAAAACTTTCTCAACACACCCTTCTTCGCGGGCTTGTCTTGTGATCAACAGCGCAGGTGCTATCAAATACTGACCGG